AATTTTTCAACAGCCCTAAGATTTCACGGCGCGGGTTAATGCAATTTGGTCTGAATCAGACCGATTTGACATTTACCGTACTGTTGCCATTATTACTGGATCATGGCTTATGTTTCAGACTTAAAAGACTGCTTCAGCGTTGCCATTTCTGGGTGTGGATGTACACTTTGTCCTTGAGGATTTTTTTTTGCAATCAAATCACTAACCATCTGTGATTCATTCTAATTCGTTTCGCATGGTTTCTTCTCGCGTCAAATCGGGACATTAAACAGGCCTTTTTATTTGTAAAATGACAAGATCTTTTTTCATCAGATTGACCAAACCATTTTTCGGTAAACTGTAGTACCGGTAAATTATTAAAAAGCGAATCATTATTATTTAACAGATAGTCGGTTTGAAGATTTTGCAATTCTTGGTTATTTCGGGTAAAATTTGACCAATTTTGGGTTTCCCAGCCCAATCCATTGCAACCAACCCAACCCCACCACCATCACCACCACAAGTTGACCCAACATGCTGGACATACACGATAACACTCGAATCTATAACTGATCTCAAATTCACTCAAGCCGTCCCTTTCCCCTGGGGACGGGCACTGCACAGAAGTTAAGTGGGTTAGCACCAAGACCGTGCCCGAATTTACTAGTAATTAGACCCTTACTGAGAGACCGGCAAGATTGATATTCAATTAAATTAAGAAACTTGCGAGATGCAAAACGTGTCAAACTGACAGGAAAGTCCAAGACTACAATATTTCGGTGCTTATGTTGTAAATCTTTGCGATGCTGTCGCTAACTACCTGAAATAATACTGTAAATTATACGTCTCGTTGAAAGTCATTTGCAAGACAACTGTCTGCGCGTCGTATTTGGTCGTATTGGCGTTTTGCCAATCGAAGACACATACCTGCAAAGATTAGACATTTCCACTTCTAGCAAGCGAATCCTGATAATGGGATCATCAGCCAAGCACACAAACCGTAATAAGTTGCATTGCAGAAAACCGGTAAATCACCGTGGCGTAGGAAGCGCAGTCAACAGTTACCATGGGAACAGAAGAAATATGGCTCGGTCTAATTGACACGCTGGAGCTTAGAATTATGGGTATGATCACTCGTTACTTGGAGCTCAGTTTACGACTGTGATAAGCGAGGATTGGAGGTGTATCTCCAAGTTACAACCCGCACTGATGATCCTGCCATTGCTTTTGGTGTCATTAATTAAGCAAAGGAGCTTCGAGGTAATGGCAGTAAATTTTAATCGCATTTTCTTACAAGTTTCATCAACAAAAATTACAGAGACGGTGGATAAGCACCCTTTGTGTACGACAGAGCCCGATGTCATAACATGGTCATTAAAACTCTCTGGAAATAAAATACAGCTCACTCATTTCCATCTTCGCATTAACTTGACATTTCAGTAGTACCTTTACATGAACGAATTGAATTGAACCTCGAATTGAACATGACTTCATAACCAGAAATGGAAGCAAACAGTGGCATGCAACTGCCCTTTAAAGGAACTCTTCAAACTGTTTGGCTATTACCAGTCGTGTGGCATCGCACGATTTGACATGACACATTGCGGCCGCTCTTAGGTGGGTTGCTAGCCTCTTTTCAAGGCCCTTGAACTAAGCTTATTACCTTCCTCGAAGTCTAACCCACATCTTGGACAGGTTGGATTAAAAAAAAAAGGACAGTGGTACTTAGCGACCATGTTATGTCGAAGGAGGAACATGGGCGGGCCTACTTCAAATGAGTGTTCATTTTCATGTTGTGGACGTATTGCGTTCACTATAGCAAGGACTAGAAATACGCCTTTGACAACAAATCCTAGAATCAAACTTGAATCAGTACACCTATTATATCAGTACACGCATGAACATTATAATAATTGATCCTGATTAGGATTAAGTGTTCCCAATTTAGCAGTAATTTCGTGGATTTTTCCTCGGATAATGACCATAATAGCTGTCACTCTCGGCTGACAACATGCCACTTAGCGCCTTAATGACGAGCAGCATTTGAGGTTTGGCGCAAAAAACGCCCAATGTTTCTCAGCTTTGGACTTCTTTTGGGAATATTTGTCCGAGATGCATAAATCCTTTGATATAGCAGGAGAATACGTCTAACAGTTTCGTGAAAGGCTTGCACAAGCTGCGAGTTACCGTCTGCTTTTCTTATTTCTTGACGTCAGGACATGAGAGTAATATTCCATATGTGTAGCTCTACTCATTACAAATGCCTCAGGCTCAGATATTGGACTTTTTATCTCTATAGTTCCAAAGGAATTATCCTAATCTCCGAACAGTAAGGAAAAGGCAAATGCATATTCCGGAAACAAGTCACGTTTTACATTCTGGTGTAGAGTAATGACGTGTTTGTTGTTTAATATCAGCGGTTCTTGCCGACGAGCGGAAATGCGCTAACGAAAATGTAAATAGTCCTCTCAGAGCAAAGCTAAACAAACACAGCCTTCTAAATAAAGCACTGCATTGACGTAGGCCATTTACATTAAAAGAGGTATAAATTATTGTCTTGAGTAAAAATCCACAATTTGACTTTTATTAGATCATTAACCTTAAAGTAGTGATTCCTTTGACCCTTAAACATCAGCGACGAACATGACGCATTCAGGTACATGTATATCGTAATTCGTTTGTGCTGTTGTTGGAGCAGGTGAAAAAAATCTCGATGCTCCATTAATTTGTGAACTCATTTCAGTTACTTCTGTATGAATCTCGAACGCAGAAATTCGATTTGGCTCCTTCAAGCAAACCCTTTATGGTATATCACCGGAGCACGTCCAACACAATCATAGTCTAAAATTTTTGGTTGGGTGTTGAAGGATGATACGTTTCCCGTGAGCTTTCTTTTTACACCTCCAGGTGCAGCTGCAATGTTATGTCGAAGGTGAGACACTTGATACATCTCATCAAAGGTATTTGCCAACTGTCAGGGAAGTGTCAGGACCATACTGTGTTGCCACGTTCAGGTGAGATCTCGGGAGCCCTCCCAGGGGTTAATGCGCTTCGCAGCGACCGCGACACGTTCACTGCCTTCACCGCCAAGGAGTAACGAGCGAAGTTGGAATAAGAGAAAAACAATTTGAGATATACTGCTCCCGGAGGAGCGAGCAGGGATGGACTGTTGGAAAGCTTGTTACAGATTTATGCCTCGTTATCACAGAAGCCCACGCCTTGGGTTGAGATTGTCCAGTAGATAGCAACTCCTAAGCGTCATAGTGAAATGACGGGCGCTTTTGCCACACACTTTAATCTTCTTTGATTGTTGTTAGAGGTGTGTACTTTTTCGGATGTTATTCTTAGGGATTCCTACTTTTTCTGCATTTTAAAGAGGTAATGAGTGACGTTTTACACCAGCTGAATTTTGTGCGAATATCCATACCTTTGCTTAATTATGAAATTCACTTTAAATTCTTTGAAAAATGACATTTCTCCTATTACAATGTCAGTTTAATATCACGGAGAAGCCAAAAGTGATGTCTTGTTTTGAGGAATACTAGAAACATACTTCGGTGTGGATCGGGCAAGTACAATTTTTATGTCTGTGTAGATATGGATGCAGAGCTGTCTACCACAGAGAAATATGCCGAAGCGGGACTATCTACTATGGAACGCCAGATGTTTCAAAATCCAAAGGTCATCATTGGAACACGGCTTCATGGGCTCATTCTGTTGCAAATAACACCCGCACTACTGGAGATGGGTACTGACAAGTGAAACGTTTATTAGAAAGAGCTGGGTATGTACGAAATGCACGGCGTCGGGTGACCGGGTTAGATCGATAGCGGCAAGACTCGATGCATATCCGCCGATCATTCTGAGCGCGGTGCGCCAGCATATTACCCGACATTTAAAGGCAATTTCCGTCGTTCACCGCACTCACTTCAAACTCCAAGCGTCTGGATTTCCAAGTCCGTGAACTCTACGACTGTGCTACCTCAATTTACAGCAAAGTGGGAGGTACACTGAAAGAACTTTTACGGCTTGTGTTACTGTTTTACCTTACGATGGAAAGGGGAGAATGATTTAAGTGCACCAGAGAGGAATGTTACAACAACTCCTAGGAAGAAAAGTCACTTTCTTTACCTATAAACGGTGCCGTTCTGTGCAAATCACACAGAATCTTGCTGGTTTTGCAATGCTGTGGGCCGATCAAGTGAGGAAGAAAATGAGAAAAAACACGCACACAATACAAAAGCTAACCTTTCAACTTCGATTAGCTGCATGTCCAGTTTAAAAGTGTTACTAGAGACCAACACTATTATAACTTGATATCATCAGACTGTGCAAGTTCGGCTGCGAACTATAGTTCGACCAGCTGGGGCCAATTTCATAGAACTGCTTAAGCACAAAATTTGCTTCAGCGTGAAGAAAAAAACTTGCTTCAAAAAACAGAGGTTACCAGCTCAACACTATCTGATTGTCATGCTAACCAAAAGTCAGCTAGATACGATCCCAAAACAATAATACGTCACAAGGAGGTTTGGCTGGTTACCTGATTTATCAAGCAAGGTTTTCGCGTGCGAGTTTTGGCTGGTAACCTGATTTATCAAGCAAGATTTTCTCGCGCTTCGGCAAATTTTGTCTTTTAATCAGCTCTATGAAATTGGCCCGAGCTCAGTTGTCGGATGCTTTTTAACAATGCACATGCGCAATTCAGTTTCACGCGAACGACTCTCGTTGGCCCTTTTGGAAAAACAAAATCTTATCGTTACTCACCGTTAGCTGCAATTCTTGCAGCGTACATGGTTACCGAAATCTCGTATACAGTTAGTTTGATGTGGATGGTTCCCCCCGTGATGATAAATGAAATCGGCTATTGGTAACCAGCGGTGCTACCATACCCCTGGGGCCTGGTCTTAAATGGTCGACGAAATAGTTCAAACCACCCATCACTCGGGTGACGTTAGTCTAACTATAGATAACAATAGTCGTCGCTCGAACTTGCCCTAATTTGGTTTGCAAAAACTACTCACCCAGCCAGTAAAGCCGTGCCTCCAATCTCTGACAGTAGACTGTTCCAATGGAGATGAACACCCTTCGATGCCAACTCCTCCATGCTAGGGGAGTGCTCAAACACGTAATCCATGTTGTCTTATTTAACGAGGTTGATAACCAAGTTGATAGCCCAGTTCAGGTGAAAACTATAACCACTGGCTTGCTAACTTCAGATCCAGGCTATAGGTGGGATTTGGTTGCGACTGAGAGTTGAGGCAACGACCCTTTTCTTTAATGAATTAACTGTCAGTTCTCAACACTGTACACAGAGGTTGACGTCTATCATTGACTCAGAAACGGCTTCCCAAAGTGAACGGTTTACATCTTCTTTGAGTCTGAGAGAACACTTTATCGAAGCACAAAGTTCGTACGGTGGGTACGAGGAAACGATCGATGCGCCGTCTGTTCAGTTTCCAACAAGCAGGTTGTATTTTGTAATTTCCTCCTGGGACGTGCAGCGACGAAAGAGACAGCTCGGATCAGATTTCACTCGAGTGTGTTCAGTTAATTGGGATGTCAAGCCGCCCTGCCAATGGAAACAAAATAGAGCTCAGTGTTAACAAAAGCAATATAGGGAGGGCATTTCTGGGGTGCACTTTTAAACAAGCCTCTTAACTCCATCGGCGCACTGTGCCTTTGAGAAGGCGTAACCTTATCCTCCATCGAAAACGGGCAAAGAAAAGCCGGTGCAAGTAAAATGAAGCAGACCTTAAATGAAACATGACATAACCCTCGCAGTCTTTAATCCAGGCGTCTGAGAACACACAGAGTGGCAAAAGTCTGCGCGGTATACATCCTTCTTTCAGTGAGGCACCTTTACCCAAAGTGATTGAGGCAGCGCAGATTGGTGCCTTTAAGTTCAAACAGTTCTTTATTCAGCATTTGTTTTACCTGAACATCGTTGACCTGTTTTTTGTTTATTTTACGAAATGCGGGTGAGAATTTCCTATACGAAGACAAATGCTACGTGTGCTTGAACTTGAGTCAAGAACGGAAATTTATGGAGCGAGCTCAAAGAGAAACAGGCAAGGTGAGTCTCTGGCAAAGCCACAAAGCACAGATTTGACCTCAGCCTTCAGCTTACTGTGCCTAAAGCCATGCGCTGTAAATCAGGGAGTTTGGCGGCCAATTTCGACGGGTTCGATCGGTGAGAACCGATCACGTTACACCGAGTCTTCTAACGTGGGGGCGTACACACTAAATCTATTAATTCTTACCACATCTTTCGGCCCTCACGCCAGCTGCTTGGATATCCCAGCTTGGTTGTTGATGGTGTAAATAAGAAATGCCGTGTTTTGAATTATTTTCGAATGGGGATTCATTTCAATGCTTGTGTCTACCTGTGAAAGTCACATCTAAAACCTTGGCCAAGACCGAAAATAAAGGTCAAGTGAGTAAATTTCACGGTCCTATCTTTCTCGAATTGTGAATTCGCTAAAGTAAAGTGCAATGGTAGACACATTAAATGTCCAATTTTGTTAAATATCATCTTAAGAAATCACTTGTACGGTTTCAAGTAATAGTGTGAAGGGCCGTTTTGTTTATACTGGAACGTCCCCGCAATTTAAAGTTCGGGCACATGCTCATTGAAGAGCTACCCTGTGAGCCCTGAGATGGACCAAGAGAGGGCGCAATTTTCCTAGCAACGGAGGCTCCTTTGGTTGGAACTGCATTTCGCTGGCTCACCAACGACTATGAAATGCGCGTGTTACGCTCGAGTCACTACCAACAAAATGGGCACTCCCGACCAGCATGGCTCTTTGCTACGGATGAAGTGGTGCTTTTTAGAAGCTCAAGGCGGATCCTGGAGAAAAGAGTATTTCAGCGAGCCATTACTAACTGTGGCACCACGCTTGTGGACAGGTGGTACGCGCGCGTCACGTCTCTTCGACCAATACGGTTCTCTGACTTAGCTAAACGAACAAGCGCGTCTAATGTAAGCGCGCGCCATAGAGTAAAAAAACTAGAGCATTTCAAATTATATTCGAAGCAATGAAGCTAGGCCATCGAAATATTCTAGTCAAATTAGACCTCAGTTTCTAATCGGTATTGCCAATTATAATTGGGTATGGATGAAAGAAAAAAATCATCAGTTCGACAGGTCAGTGTTTTGCAAGATTGAAAAACGCGAACCTACCCAGACATGGACAGTAACTCGGGGAAAAATGTATTCGTACTGCCGATATGAAAATTGGGTTGGAGTTGATCAGCTAGAGGAGGTAAGCCGTGAATAACATAACGCCCACGACACACGGATACTGCTTCCATTGAGTTCGGCTGAATAGGCGCTGGGTATCGAATTTTGAAGCCGTTGGAAATTCATGACAAAGCACTTTAGGAATTAAACAAACGGCGCCAAGAATCCCACAGCCAAATGGGAAACTGAAGCCGTCCAGAACACCTTGTCAAAGGGGTTGACATTTTGAAACATATTTCTCAGAAGATGAAACAGCACCATTAACTTTAATAACAAAAATCAATGAGTATTTTGAATCATCGAGCCTAATTTAAATCGATTTTAATTCGCTCCATCAAAAATTTAACAAACAGTTAGGCAATTCATATGACCTCAATTGATACACTATAGTTCCGATTCAACACTCTTCACTTTACTTCTTGATTTGATCCGCGGAACGATGGCTTTAAGTCTATTTTAAATAGAAGGGGCTTCTTTCTAAGCATTACTTCTCTATGGCTAAACTGAATAAGCTAGTGGTATATCAAATTCCTCGGGTTATTTGAGGAGAGTCTCTGCTATAACATTTCCTATCTTTTCACATCAGGGAACCGTTTCGGATTTCTAGACAGCAAACATTGTCCCGATGGCTCTGTTGAATGTACAGGGTATCATATCATTCGTGTTGCAAACACAACCGGTCTTGTCAGTCCTCTCCTTGAGTGTTGAATCATTGATTTTCAGATAAAGAATACTCAAATGACCGGCCTTGCCAAGCCATGAAAAATCCATATGGCTGCTCTTTATTACGAAAATAAAAGAGAAAAAAGATGGGGAATGAAAGCATTTCGGCACGTTATATTTTTTCATAGATCGCACTAGAGAAAATCAAGCAAGATTAAAAACAGTAAAAATAAAAGCTAACGTTAACCAAAATGGGTCGCAGTTTTCCCAGAGGGGTAGGCTTCCAACAGTTTCCATGCTGCAGAGTGAAAATAATAAACTTTCTTTTTTTAACGTCTTTTCAAGGATATCGTATTTCTCCTTTCGATTCGAAACTTTGATTACTGTCACAGAGAAACTAAATCAAGTAACAGAAAATTGGTCGAAGAGCGAGAGATATTTTGTTTCTTGGGGGTAACCAACAATTTGGAAATTTTCTTACGTTACCTGGTCTTTGTGAGGGGTGGAGCTATTTTGGGGGAGCTCATTACACTGTTTTAGGGGGATGGGAAGGGCAGTTGTCTCGTAAGTCGCCCCCTTCCTCAATCTTCAATAAAAACGGGAAGGGAGGCAATTTTCTTCCCTCTTCGGCTCATCCGGCAACAGATAGGCCGAGCTTGGTGATCATGTAGCACTGATCATGCGCAAGACATATTGTACGTTGTACCCGATAAAGGAGGAATTACATTAGGATGACAGAGTTGCTGCTGCTCAACACATGTCGCTATATGCACGAGTGATTTGTGTCCATATTTGGGCAGTAGAATTTATGCATAATGACAAGCGCGCATGGGTGGGCCGTAAAAACTGGGCAAAGTATAAAATGGCGGGTTAATAAATAACCATCTTTGACGTAGAATAGGGGGGGGGGCGTATCCATTGGTAAAAGACAATCAAATTACCTTGCTTGTAATTGTCGTTTGTCCTGATGAGTTGAACTGTCTTCAAGGTTCTATACATTATATAAGTGATAGGCCTATAGGTTTTCGTCAGGATATTTGGAACCAGCCTATTTGGTCTTTGCCTCATCTGTTAGAGGAAAGCAACAGAATGGGCAGTGCTATTGGCAACGATGGAAAATGGACGCCATGGTATTCGACCACAAGTTTTTTTTAACAAGCGCACAGTCTTGAATACTATGCTGATCTGTCTCAGTGATACTAATTACTGTGGTGTGATCCTCCTTAGCGCCCCAACAGCCTGTAACCGGTGAACATGAATTCTGAATGTAATTCATAATGACCTTAAAGATGCGGCGTTTTCTTCTTTTTTTCAAAATGACGGTTCGTGACGTGAACCCTTTGCATACCAGGTGGCACTTTAGATGTCACAGTGACGGCTTGTAAATAGTATATCAGAGAGATATCTCGGTGATGATCTTAGAGCAACGTATGAACGACAAATATGAAATATTTGCCCTTCACTGCACGATCATGACATCGCTTGGCTAATCATCTCCAACGTACGGAGTCTTTATTGATGAGACGCTACCCCTTCTGCGCCGAATAAAGGTCCAAGGCTTCTTTACTCGAAATATAAGCTTTATTATGCGTACGATAATTGCTCTTCAAGCTATTCCTTCGGGCTAATAATTTCTGAATGAGCAATTGAAGATGGCTTGCTGGAATCACGTACGAACATAGGTTTACAATTGCCACAAGGGAGGGCACTGGCATTCTCGTTTAATATCTCTCTTCATCGTATAGGGAGTGCTTTATTTCATTGTAATTTTCAGTTGTGTAAATTTCAAACAGATGATTGTCGGGAAGAGAAGACACCGTCTTTTTAAAAGCTTGACTGAATGAATTTTGGCGGAAGATAAGGAAGGTATTATCTTTAAAAGCAAGTTTTCCAGCCTTTATAAATCTGCAGAGATTCAGCGTGTCGAAACAGTAGATGAATGCAGCAACGCGTGTAACCTTAAAATGTGCTTTTAAAGTTTACACTACTATCTATGTCGAGTGCATTTAAATTCAGTTTTATCCTACGGTTAACGACAGTTTATTGGTCTAATTTGTTCAAATGTCAACAGCCGGCACAACTATATTCACATGGACCTTCATTAATTTTTCATTGAAATTGAATCCATAAAGTGCTAAGTCAATAATATAAATAGCCACTGGGTCACTTTAATCAATGGGCCTGACGATTATCCGTTATTTCTGAGGACGTCGAAGGAGCGTTCAACCATTATTCTCTGGCGATATTAAAGTATGCTAATGTGCAGTCAACTAGATACAATATTCTGAACCCATTTCCAGCTTACCGTGTGACAGATTGATGGTGTTGAGCCATGTACATTATTATCGGGTAGATACAAAACACGAAAAATGCAGGTGGAAGGAGCAATGATCACTCCTATTGGCGTTTTGTTGTTGAGTCTTCAAAATTTGAGTTTTTTCCGTACTTCAAAAAATTGTTCCAAAACATCAGTTTTGGCCAAGTTTCAGTCGATGTCCAAAAGGTATTGAAAAAAAGAAAAAAAATTACTTGGCAAAATTAACATACTGCCTTTTCTTCTGATGTTATTGTATTTATAGATCAGCGTATAATAAAATCAAATTATGCAGACTTGCGTGTTAGCAGCGGCAATATTCAATTAAGATTTATTTTGAAATGAAAAGGCTGTCTTTCCGTCAACGACTGCCGGGTTCAGAGTTAGCACCATGTACATTAATACGCACAAAATATAAAATGCTAACAGCGGTTTTACAACACGGGGGATTAGAAAACATACGTCACACATCGAAGGCCCGCACGTGCTCCGACGCCGTCGCAACGGTAACAATATGTTAGCCTAAATGCAAACAAACCTAAGTGAAAATGTCAACACAATTTAACAATATGTGCTACAAAATCGGACGTTTTACAGCACAAATATGACCTACCTGGTGCTATGAGACTCAGGAATAAATCTTTAATGGCCGCTGATGATGAGGAGAGATTATGTTGAGTAGTTTGTACTCTGAAGTTCCCCTTAGTTTGCAGCGTGTTTATGCCCCGGCTGTCAGCGATAGATCCGGCTCCACTCTTGCCCGTCTAATGAAGACTGCTCAATCGTAGGGCTGTGCTATCACCCCGGCGTTGACTGACTGCTGCTTGTGTGTCCGTGCTGTCCCTGCTTCGAATGTACATCTGCTCATTCAGAATTCGTGGCCGATCGGCGAGCGCTGCGCCGATATGCAGAGGCGGGAAATTAGCTCGAGGAGCCGTGAAGAGGAGCAGCCGACGGCTGATTCATGGCTGGGAAGACATCGTTTCTAGAATAAGCAGCCGCAGAAGCCGTTAGCAATTAGAATAAAATAGGTTAGGATCAAACCGTGCATGAAACACAAGCTCCGCTGTATACAAAATTGTAATCAGTTTCAACAAATTCCGCATTATAATTACCAGGCACTCCCTGACTTGGTGGAGACAAAGTGATCCAAAACAATTAGTATAATGCCCTGCATTTCTAGTTGGGCATCCATCCTCCATTGCAAGTATTTGCAGATGAATGAAACCAACTCACAATTCCGACGACTAAAATTTATAATTTATCGCTCCACAGTAAAGAGCTACTGTTTTCATGTCTATATATAGCGAACTCCAGACTCGTTAATCCGCGTGTCTGGAGTTGGGGGCAATGTCTCCCGTGATTGCAATACAAGCCAAGTTTATGGAGTCACCGGCAACGCCTAAACAACAACATCCCAAAGCTAGCTCGAACAAACTGGAAAATGACATGGTGCAGGGCCTATTGTGTGTTTTTATTCCTCCAAGTTGTAACAGAAGAAATAACGTGTATTTTTCACAAGCAGCCACCCCTTCAGCCTCACGCACTACGGGTCGTCGCGCTCGGCCCGGCAACTCGCATATCCCTTATAAGGCGCCCTCATTTGATAGCCTTTATTGTACAATGTATGTCATACGTCACCAATCAGTAAGTCCGACTTCACGGATAAGGCAATTCGGACCCCCCATCAGTGCTTATTATGTAGTTGTTCATAATTGCATACAAACGAAATGTTCTTGCATGTAATGTATACGGAATTCTCACCAATCGAAGTAGTTGGACTTGTAGACTCGTTCATTGTAATACAGATATGAACGACGTAACTTTCCGGCAATGTGATTGGCTGCATGCTACCAGATCGGTTGATAACTGAGCCCAGTCTGCTCACTGGCTAAAACTCACGGTTGACTGCTCTAGTTACAATTTTAAGAATGTGCTGTATTGTACCGAGTAATAAGCATGCCTTCAATGTTGCCAGGTATATTTTCAGTAGTACAATATACATGAACCTTTTGAAAACGTAGGCCTATGTCGGTATTGTTACACCCTGTATAAATCTAAAGTTGGTGGTATGCAGTGCGTAATAACAAATCACAATAGGCCAATAACTTCAGTTAGAACAGTTCTGTATCGAATAGTAGAGTATCAAATTGATAAAGACTGCATCGAGAAAAGTTGTTGACCAGAAACCTGCGGCACAGTACTTTCTGTTCATATGCATTATGCATACGAATACAAACATATTTGAAGCTCAGCCGTTCTTTTTTTTTTTTGTAATGGCGGAATGATTGAGCTAATATGAGAAATCAGGAAGTGATAAATATCGATTTTGCCAGATCCTTCGATGAGAAATTTAGAGTGACATGATATGATCGATCCCGCCAGACCTCTCCAGTGTCCGGTATTCGTGGAATTTTATTAATATCCCCTTTCCGTTTTGATCCAAGTATGTCGAAATTTCTAGATGTCGTGAAATCTATTGGCTGGAAAAGGTTTTGGAGACAGTGGATGGGCCTTGATACAGAAGTAGGGAAATGTATTGTACCCTTCAGACATATCATTTTTCTAGACGAGAATCCTGATTTCTAGGAAACGAGCTTTTGTTTGCTTGAGGAGAGCGACAGTGACGAACATGCATTACGCAACCTCGCTTGCCACTGCGTTGGCGCAATTACCAACAAATTTGGGCGGGACGAGAAACACCGCCAGGAAATGATAGTTGATGAGCACTCAGACGACTGTTTAATGTACAGTTTCACACGAAGAGTTCTCACGTGGGCGCCCAATCCGTACCGATATCACATTCTGCGTACACCTTTATTTGAGAATAGATGAAATCACAAAACAACATTTTATTTTACTTCAAATAATACTTCATATTCCTTTTTTAAAAGGGTATTGCCACAACATACATGCACGACCGTGGAATCTGTACATCTTGTATAAAATTTGTTCCAAATTCTGCAATTTCAACTAAATCGCACGAAATCCTTTTTGCAAAAAATACGTCACTTTCAATATAGTCCAAATCTAAAACTTGTGCCAAGTAACTTGTTGTTTACTGGCTAAGTTTTCGAAATCTATTCTTGAAGAAGCTAACTGAGCCTACGTTTTCTAAAAGAGAGAGATTCGGAAGCTTAACCTTCCAGGTTCAAAAACAGGGAAGTTTCAGCTTAACAACAAAACAAGATGAAGACCAGAAGAAATTAATTGTTGGCTAAGCTAGTCGGTTTCAAAGGTCAAGAAATAAAACGTATGTACGTCTACAATCTCAATCTTCCGAAACCATGTTATAGGCGTTTCATGGACTGTATCATAACCCACCAACAAGTTTAATGAACAAACAGCAACATGTTACAAAGCAAAGCAATGAACAACTTCGTCAGCCAAAAGCAGCACCCAGAAATGAAGGAAGGCAAAAGATACGCAAGTTTCCATCAATAACTAGTCTTTTTGTGCATAATTCTCTGTCAAAGGACAGTGAATTTTAGTACCTTTGCTTTGATTTGAAAAGGAAATTATTATATTTCTATAATCAAGGTATAGATGGCAAGGACACGCTTTAGAAACAAGGGCAGATCTAAAGAATTTTAGAGGATCCTACAAGTTCTTTTGGGGAGGGGCTAAAAAATTCAAGCGAAAAGTTTTCATGTAATCTTTTATAGACTTTCTGGGAAGTAGTCTACATTTGAGGCATTTTACACACTTTTTGAAGGAAACTGAAATAAACCACAAAGTTATTTTTCCTCCCTCCTCCCAAGACAAAATGGTTGGGGGAGGGGCATGGCCCACGTTGGTCCCAAAGATCTGCCCTTGGCTAGAAATAAGAAAAAGGCAGACAACATGTGCAAACAAGTAGACTACTGTGATGAAAGGGTCAAGACCAAACAATATTTCGTGCTTATGTAATACTCATTTCTTTCGAGAAACGTCTGGAGAAATTGTTTAAGATGGAAAGAAGCTCATTTTTTGACTCAAAGATGAAATGATAAAAAGAAGAGTTTTGTGGTTAGTTACAGACTCTGATGACATGTGAGAGAAATACCCAAATGGAAGAAACTAAAATTAAAAATACTAATTTCTGAATATTCGTTTTGGTTGAATTTTCATCCTAGAATGTAGAAATTATACTCTATTGTCAAATGCTATGTCAAGTAGAAATCATATCTTATTGTCTCCTCAATTTTTCTTCGATTTGACTCCAATGTACCATCCTTAGGGCAAAAAGAACTTTCCAATGGCATCCCACATTTCTTTGGTCAATTTTTTGGATGTTGGGTTATCTCTGTAGTCCAGAGTGTCTGCGTTCCACATGCCTACGCCTCGTAACTTCATCTTCTGAGCATACTTGTAGCGTGTAGTCAGACTCTGTGGATTGTCATACCAGACTTGATGATGGTCTCCCGTTGTTGCATCCTGCATTTACAGAAAGAGCATGACACCTAAATTGCAACACTGTAAACCTAAAAGGGCAGGATGCAGTAGACAACCACTGAGATTGTAAGAAGACCCAACAAGACGATCAAAAGACCAACACTACTCCTCCATTTTGAAGTCAAGTCACAGACTATTCAAATGAACAGCATTGAAAGCACTCCTATGTAATGGTGGGTCTTGTGACTGGTCTTGTGTCTGATCTCAAGTCTAGTCTTACGTCTGGCCTTGTGGCAGGTCTTGTGATGTGGCACTGGCTATGAGAAAAAATACATTGCAACTTGCAGAGGTCTTGCAAGTTCAGCCTCAGTTTGATTCTGGGCCTTGCATAAATGAAGTCACAGTACTGGGATTGCCTGCGGTATAAATTATCTTTTTAATAGATAAATCCCAACAGAACCAGGTTATTTAAGAATTTCAGCAATGTAATGCTTCAGGGGCATCATTTTTGTGCAGGACAGGACAGATAACCACGCTGTTAATAATGAAAAATCTATCTGTGATGAAGCACTAAACTAGTTGCTACAGACGTCACGCGTCTTACATGCACATGGAAGAGTCTCAAAAATTCTTACCACGTAGTTGAAGTAAGGGGCCTGGTAGGTTGTGTTGTAGAGGCGTCCACTTGTGGAGTTTTGCATCAGCAACTGTATGATTCCTTGGTAACTAACCTGCTTGCCTGCAGCATCACTGCAATTCACACCACGGAATGGTACATGAGGAATGTGGCATACATTGGTCTGGAGGTAACAAGATGAAAATGAGGCTGAATTAGTTAAGCAGCACATGTCCTCTATACAGTCCATTGCATGTCCTCTTTATATTACATCAAATGTTCTCTACATAGTCCATCACGTCCTCTCTACAGTCCGTCACATCTTTTTTACATTCCATCAAATGTCCTCTATACAGTCTGTTACATGTCCTCTATACAGTCCATGACGTGTCCTCTTTACTTTCCATCAAATGTCCTCTATTCAGTCCATCACCTGTCATCTTTTGGTCACATGTGCTATATATATTCCGTCACATGTCCTCTACAAACATGTATATAGGTTCGCTTTTGGTAATCCTTCGGGGAAGGTCCTGTATTTGTAAACTGTCTTTGTATTTTCTGTTAGTCCACGATGCTTTGATTGTCCTGTGAAATAATAAATTAAATGGACTGGACTCAGCTACACCCCCCTGAAAAATTAAAGATACATATGTAAATTGGAAAAGGCTCTAAATGTACAATTTATATTACCCCTGTTCATCTGGCAATGAAATCAATTTTCAAAGCCAGTATCTGATCTTTACTTTCTCAGGTATTCCTTTCTACTGCTAGGTGGAGGGAGACAATAGGGAGGAAAGGAAAGGAAAATAACACGTAACCACCTGCTGGATTCGAACCTCGGACCCTATAACTGGGAACCTCAAACTGTCACCACTACACCACACATCCCGAGTGTTAAAAAAACTGGAACACTTGGACAATTTACTAAACTGGTTACTGAGGCAATCAATGATTTACCTTGGTACTCAGGCTGGTACAGTTGTAGTTATACCCATACCAAGGCACGCCCAGCACAAGTTGATCAGCAGGTATGCCCAGCTTAAGGTAACTCTCTACACCTGTTAGAGCAGTTTGGAAGAAATAACATGTCAAATGACAAGTTGATCAGCAGGTATGCCGAGGTTAAGGTACATGTAACTCTCTACACCTGTCGGAGCAGTTTGGATGAAATAACATGTCAAATGACAAGTTGATCATGCCAAGCTTAAGGTAACTCTCTACACCTGTCAGAGCCGTTTGGATGAAATAACATGTCAAATGACAAGTTGATCAGCAGGTATGCCCAGCTTAAGGTAACTCTCTACACCTGACTGTCATGCCCATAATAAATTTCACAGAAAATAAACTAACCCCCGGCTGTTTTGTTGTAGGGTGAGTTGGCCATGGCAATGCACGGTCCAAATATCTGGCTCTGTTCATCATATGACATCACAAAGAGAAAGTCGCACGAATCGGCGATGCCTTTGTAGTCATAGCAACGGCCATCAATGCAGTTAGGTGACCAGGCAACGTCAAATGTGACCTACATGTACATGTAGAAGAAATTTGTGAGTGAACTCGTGAAAGGATTTGTCATGAACTCAATAAAAACACATATGTGTAGCGGACATGTTTGTCCTTGTTTTCTGAACTTTAAAAAATCTTTAATGTACAGTGAATTGGCGATAAAGACAATTTACTTAAAAACAAAAAAATAAAAGAGAAAATGAATAATTAGGCTTACCTGAGAGCCAGGAATTGAAAGATGGAAAGCTTTAGTTGTTTCATCGACAAGTGCAGTCAAGTATTTAGCTTTACTGGCATCCAGTGGGTACTCAATGTCAAAATTAATGCCGTCCATGTGACCTTGGATGGCCCGGTCCACCTGCTGCATGACCCATGCACTGCGGTCAGCCACACTGGTCAGATTGGCAGCGGGAAACTCACCTGCCCAAACCAAATGGAATGCATGCATCATGTATTCAGTCATCTGAGTCTGGTTTTGACCAAAATATATATTTTGTTTTAAAGTTAAAATTTATTTGATCATCATTGAGTAAAAATGTTCAATTGAAGCAATTCATAATGTACAAAGAATCATTTATTAACCTTGTCAAGGGACCCAATCTAATGAAAAACTGAAAAAAAAAGCCTAATGGAGGGACTGACATTTCGATCCCGGCAGAATCTTTCTCAAAGGCGAAAATCTTGAGAAAGATTCTTCTCAGATCAAAATGCCACATCCTCCATACTTTGTGATTTGTATATTAGGTCACTGTAGTCAGCAAGAAATTTGTAGCAGTTTTGTATTAAACATGATCTGGAAAAATCTTCAGTTACAGATGGAACAAATTTTACTTAAACTTCTCCCCTGGATCCAATCCCTCCCTTTAAAGGACAATCCCATGGAATCCCAATCCCTTAAAATTGAACGACCAGCAAACAACAAAGGACGCACGTGTAATGAAGGTTGAAAAGAACTCAACCTACCAAGCAAAGTGACTCTGACGCCCTTTGAGTGTGCATAACACATCAGGTCGGCCTCATAATGACTTCCAAACATCACAACTGTCGTCAGCTTTGACCAATCATACTCTTTCCAGTGAGTTCCGCCCACCCAGAATGCAAACAACTATGTTTAAAAAACAGATTCAACTGATAAAACACCCAAAAGTTCTCCCTAACATCGAAAATCAGACGGACCAACGTTAACATTCGGTAAAGCTTTGCTGGTTACGACAATGACAAAAGAAGTAAAATCTGCAACAATTACCAACATTTGAACAATTTTGCAGTAAACCGTCACACGTGCAAACTAACGTCAGGAGCACTAGGCATGCACTGGCATGCTTAGGCCTAGTAGCCCACCTCTTTTCGCGGCGGCGTTTTAATCACATTACAAAGCGCCGGATCCTCACACGGACAGTCTCCATTTGACCTACTGAAGACATCCAAACACCATCCTTGGCAAACGACAGCAAAGACAAGAACCACTCGAAAAGAAGTCGCCATTTTCCTGATGGCACAATTTGATTATCGTTTTTACCACAGAACTTCCTTGTTTATGTTTGCAGCATCAGCGACGCGGAAAACGGCAACAGCGTAACACCCCTCTCTTCGCGTCACGTGCTTGTGTCAGGTGCTCTACTGGGATATTTAACATATAGTACATGTTCATAGACAACTTGCAGGCTGGAAGGTAATCTGTGTTGTCACCATCTATACGTTGGTGCCCAACATATAGTCAGGTCTTCTCAGTTATTTTACTACTACGATTCCTATTGGTTGAAGTCAGGTCACCAGTCGCCGGCTTCAGCTGGCAAACTTACTGCTTGGTAATAAAAATACAAGCACATCAGTCAGCAGAGAAGCTCAGAATGGCTAATCTTTCTCGTGTCTTCTGTGTCTCTTTGTTGTGCCTGGTGGTGTTGTGGGAAGGTGGAAGTTTGGGAACACACAGCTCCACCGACAATGGCGGTTGTCCTTGCCCAGACCCCGATCACTGCAAAGTCATTTCATCACCTCCTCGAAAAGAAGTAGGTTTCCAAATTCTTGTTTGGCCTAATGACACTTTTATCTTGTGTGTGTGGAAAAGAAACATATTTTAGGCCTAAGGCCGTGAAAGCGAAAGTAAGTACGGGAAAGTGCATTGCCACAATATTTGGTGTGCACAAAATGATTGCTTCTTTTCGGTTCTCGTTAAAAAAAAAAATAAAAAAAAATCAATAACGGTGCAGCCTTGTAATCATTATCTAATAACTCTAGTCGAAGGTCACATGTATGAGTGATTACTTTTTGTTCTACAGAATTGTGTAAAAATATTTATTACAGGTTATGTATGACCCCAAAACTATCCTTGTTGCTTAACAATCTTCATAACTTCATACAAGATGTACTTTGCGTTGGAGAGATGTAAATTTGTATCACAGGTTTTGCCCTTAAATGTTGGGTAAAAAAAAAACATTACGGTACTGATGTTGGTTTTGTGTTTACAATTACACTCTTGATGATAACAGAAAATTTGAAATTCCTACCATTTTTTGTCAGCTGTGTATTCTTAAAACTTATATTGGGAAATGTACTAGGTGTTTCAAAATAAACGATTGCCCTTGGACTGTAAAATTCACAAGTGGAAGTTATGTAAGGAAGTATCCATAGACTACCCCAGTACTGTGGGGTCTGACGTCCGCGCCGCTTCCCGTTGGCAGGAGCAGGGTAGACGTTGGACTCCACAGTTCTGGGGGTATCCAGAGACCATTAATTGGTGCTGATTTATAAACTTTTGCTTTCTGAGCAGACACGATGAATGATGTTTTGATGGAATATGACATTTGAAGCAATAAATGGATTTTTGTAATAATTGCGACTTTTGGGGTAAGACGCAAAATAGGATTTGGGATGGTGGATTGGAATTCTGGGCCCAGGTGCTGGGAATTACAGGCTCTAACCATGAATTGTATATAACTTGTGACCCGCTTTGCAAAAAAGGGTATGAAGGGACACTGCTATTTCACATTAAGGGCTTTTTAGGTGGACAGGGGGATTTTTACTTCTTGGTTTATTGGCTTCTATTATATCAGCTTATTCATACAAGAAAGCTAACTGTTGTCATGGGCATCTTGGCTGATTTCTTTTTCCACTTCCTGTGTTTAAAGGGTTTTATCTCTGACAGCACTTCTGTAAATGTGTATGATATGATTATGCAAATATGTCTCCAGATTGCAAAGTCCCTCAGAGTTCAAACCTACACCAAGTTAAAGCTTATACTGTTAATGTAACCAAATCAAATGTGTATGTAACTCTTTCTTGAAAACTAAAACGTCCCATAATACCCATTTTTGTGGAGCCGGTCACATCTTATAATTCGTGTTTAGGCCTACTTTATCTAAATGTATGTACATGTATGTACATGTAGCCATTGCTTCAACTCTGGTGGTATTTTACAATGTGATTCTACATCATGGCAAAATTTATACTGTGCTACAAATAAAGCCAATATCAGTCCTTGTTGAAGTGATATGAAGAGTTATTGCGTGCAGTCAAATACAGATCATTATTTTGATTGGTCGCAGGTTTTTGGCTTTTGGGTTGGCTCAACTGTATGGAAACATTTTGATTGGACGCGGATCACCACCATTGTCATGTTCCATCGACATGATTCACAGCTGATGTGCTATGCCCACGCGAGAGGCGTTCGAGTCGTAAGCATGGGTTAGTCAAGTGTATCTCAAATGAAAACTAAATCTTCATGTCCTTGGTCTATGTCAGTAGTGAAGAATTTATTGTAATGACTTGCTGAAAAAAATAAAATAATCTCTGGTTTTCTTGGTAATTTCACTGAAACTGAAAGGGAGTGCAGCATACATGTGCTTTCATCTGTGTGTGAAGAGTTTGGTCTTTGCTAATTAACCTGTGCAAGTATTAGACAAACAAACCTGCAAATTTATAGTCCAGAGACTCGTCAAATTTTAAAAGGGAACCGTAGAAAAAACAAGAAAGTGTCAGTGTTTTGGTTTTGTTTTTGTTCATTTCTTTTTTGTGTGCCAGGGGTTGGTTCGTTTGTGCAGGGTTGCATGCAATAATTAGCTTTTGGAGATCATATTTCAGTTATATTTGGTCTTTTCTGAAAGAGAAATTTTCCAATCACTGGACAGTTACCAGTAGTAGTAGGAAAACAGTCGAACCTCGTTCATAAGAAGTCCCCTCGGACTTGGCAAATTATCAGGAATGAAAACAATGAATAAACAAAGGATTTGGACCTAAACATTTTCTTATGGAGAATCGTGTGTTAACAATGAGGTTCATCTGTATATGTTTGGGTTTAATTGCATTTGGGACACCCCTCCATTCCATCGGCTGTAAATGCTACCCCCAGTTTCTGGTAATGCGGATCTTGCCGACAGTCCTAGTTGTACGTGTACAAACTTGACATTCTAGCATCAGTTGATTACAGCTTCAATGTAAGAGATCATTCTTCAAATCCATTAAGAAAAATATTTGTATGTCTCATTGCAGGTGTGTTTCCGGCTGGGAGTCTTTCCAACGTGACCGCTCGTAGTGCTTGGATAATGGCCAGAGTGAACGAGACAATGGAAGAACATCTGGATGGTATTAATATAGATATTGAGTACCCGCTGAATAAATCCGAAGCACATTTGCTGACTGATCTCGTCGCAGAAACTACCAAAGCTTTCCACACTGCAATTCCAAACTCTCAGGTGAGAAGAAACCAAACGTACTCTCATCCCGTGTTTCATCCGGCCCATTTTCCACCTATCATGAGGACGGGCAGGTTTTTTAATCGATCAAAAGTTACAAGCCATCAATTGTTTGCATAAATCGTCAACACTGATCATGACTGATGAAACTTTTTCCACCAAAACTCTGGGTGCTGTGCAAATGTAGATGTCAGTTTGGAACCTTCTTGGCAGAGGACAAGGAGTTTATAATCTTAGCTTGGAAGCTTTGAAGGGATGGTAGATGAAACCTGCTCTGTGATCCCAAACAGACTACAGCTGAACATTTGTTCAGTGTTATCTATACGCAGACCTGCCAACCTAGCTGTCGGTTGTCCAGCTGTGCTGAATATTCGAAAATATCGATATTTAATCACGATTGGAATGGTTGGGAAAGATAAGACGAGTGATCATGAAATCCACAGTTGTTAAATTTAAGCAAGAAGACATGATTTTTGTTTTGTCAGGTGACATTTGACGTTGCTTGGTCACCTGACTGCATTGATGAGCGTTGCTATGACTACAAAGGCATCGCTGAAGCAAGTGACTTTGTCTTCATCATGGCGTATTCGGAGCAAAGTCAGATATATGGTCCCTGTATTGCCATGGCCAATGCACCGTATAACAAGACAGTAAAAGGTAAGAATGCAATTTCAGTTGCTTTTATAACAACAGCTTGACAAAACTTGAACAAAAATTGAAGCCTATTTACATGTATAGTAACAGGTAGATCATTTTGCCTGATTACAACTTCATGTTTCAAGTTCTTCAGAATACATGTAGTTTTGTGTGCAGTATCATTTCTTTTATCTAACATTTCCCTGTTTTATAAAAATAGCAGAAATCTCAAATTTTTCAATATTCGAGTAAACAAATTGCTGGATAAATCCGAGTGACAGTGCCTCCTATCATCAGAAAAACCATATGTTTTAATTGCAGGAATTCAAGGATATTTGGCATTGGGTATTCCTTCTGACAAGCTGGTCTTGGGAGTGGCTTGGGACGGTGTGGACTATGTTTGCCTGAACATCTCCAAGGTGGGATTTTAAGCAGACACTCAGACGTGTCAAGAAACAGTCTTTGCAAGGTTCATCATTCAGTTTAGTTTGTCTTGGAAAATAATTACAGGGAAGTAAGAAATGACCTTTTGGAAGGTATTGCCTTTGGGATGCATGTACTGAACTTCATCTTTGCTCACTGTAGAATTACTGTCCTTACCTGCGGACACAAAATAAGATTTTCTCGTGAATAAATTACATGCAGCTCAAAGGAGAATACCAACAATTGGCCAAGAAGAAAATGTAGAGCAAAATGTTCTTTGCTTGAGCATATTTCGTGGAATGTTGGTGTATTGTTACTTGTCTTTGACGTCTGTGATCCAGGTTCAAATCCAACCAAAATCAGCAGTTGATTGCTTTGTCTAGTCCCTACCTTATTGTGTGGATTTCCATGGAATGTATTAAATCGTGGGTTTCCCCACCTTAAAAATTGAACATCACCCCACAGACAGTTTGTAACATGTAAGCACATGGGTCATTCTATAAATTCGGGGTCCAAAAATGTGACATATTTGTGTCCCCTGTCGTACACCTGAACTGTGTAATTTGACATGGACATATCAGTATAATTGATTTCAAACAAATAGGTAAAAAGGTACATGTAATTAGCATCAATTCATCACTCCTGAAAATCAGAGAATTTGTTTTGAACTTACGAATCACATGTCAGATGTGACAGGAACACGAAAAAATTGAACCCCTAATTTATAGAATTACCCAAATGTAAGTTTTAATGAGTTTGCCTTAACCTCTTGATTTTTTATAATCTTAGGTTGTGACTTACACCGCATCCTATTTCCATCTTTCAGGACAACGTGTGTTATATTGAACATGTTCCTTTCCGAGGTGCCCCGTGTAGTGACGCACCTGCCAAAGAGAGAACCTACTCCTTCATTCAGACTAAACTGCTAGATTCAACGACTGGTAGACTTTACAACGCAACTTATGCCTCGCCGTACTATAACTACAAGGTGACTGTAAGTCACTCAGATCCAATCAAACTCAATTTATGGCACTGTACACATTGAAAAGATAGGTAATAGTGTCTCAGCAAGAATGATATTTTTCCCAATGCCAAATATACATGTGGATATACTATAAATTACCTGTGCAAATGGTCACTGGGTCCAAAAGACAGTCAAGTCTCGGTCAGTTTTGGTAATTTCGTACTGCAAGCAATTTTTGACCAAACACTACGACCAAGTTATTTTTGTGACTGAGCTTGAGCATCCAAACTCTATCTTCTCAAAACTGTAAAATTTTGCACTTCTGGTTCTTTTCGGTTTTTCGTGATTCTTTCAAACTTTCTTACTTGCAGTTTCCTACAGTCTTGATATAAATTATCTAAACTGCAGAAATTGGTATTTGATGGAAAGATACAAACTTTGTCAGCACTTTATTTCGGCTGGTAAGTTCTCTTTATGTATTTTAGACATAAAGAGTTACGAGAAAGCCCAATGGTTTTTCAGTTTGGGGCTTGTCTCTTGGTCTTAATATGCAAAATTTGTTTCTGGAAAGGAATGAAGAGATAATTACATTAAGCATAAGTTATGATTGCAATTTTGGGACGACATGTCCTGTCAGCAATTGTTATGCACACCTTTTTACAGACTCTTGCCCATGTGTTTTGGCAGAGTGATGTGATTGGCCAGATCAGACAAGTCTGGTATGACGATGTCGAGTCTCTGACTCTCCGCTATGAGTATGCTAAGCACGTAAACCTGCACGGGGTTGGCATGTGGACCGTGGATAGCCTGAACTACAGTCAGACGCCGGTAGCCGAGAATCAAACACGCGCCATGTGGGAGGCTATTGATAAATTCCTTCACTGAGACTGGAAGTTGGTAGTGATCCACTTGGACATTCATTTCCTCGTGAACAATATTATATGGACAGGCCATTGGCTATGAGAAAGTCACCGTCTTCCATGTTACAACTTCAGGAATAGTGGATTTGTTAGGGACTTTTTGACTGATGGGAGTGGTTGGAACTGGTTCCCTCCACACGTTTTTAGGGAGGATCGGGAACCAGGATATAGACTCACGCCTTTCTAAACCTTCAAATAGGTTTTGAAGTTTTCGTAGCTGGGGATCAGTGATTTAGGGCAAACTTCAATGAAGCTTTAAAGTGGAAAATATTTCCCGATTTCGTAAGGAGGCAGAAAGAGAGAAAGAAAGATATGACGGGAGGGAAAGTACGAAACACAGAAACAGAACTTGGGACAGTTATTACAAGGAGGAAGAAATATCGGCTTATAACCTACTCATGAGTTTGTTTGAAATTTTGATTGTCGGATGATAGGCCTACCCTATAATTAACTTGAGAGTAAATAGTTGTATATAATTTGCAGATGTACGAGATTATATATTTATATACTACATACAGTTATATCAGGTTTTTTGAGTGAAATCGTTGCATCTTTCTTGGAATTTCGAGGTGTCTGAATGACGTCACGGCCACGCTATTTTTACCATGATCTTGTGAAACAGTTTACTTCATTTTTTAAAAAACCCCTGTGCCATGTTATGGAATATTCATTGCGAGCGATCGTAAGCAAAATCTCACGTGCGTGGCACGTACCGAGTGATGTCGCGCCCAGCTAGCCAGTGCCTTCTCAAGAATGGCTAAACTGTCTATAGTATTATCTTGACCAAATCCTTGGAGAACCTTGGTACATCTTCATGCGCGGTGCAAGGCTTTGAATGTGAAATTTCAGACCCAGTTCTTCAAGCAGAAAAACCTCACCAAGGATTTTGCGTTGTTTGCACAACATGCAAACAGAAATTCTATATAAGTATTTCATTATAATTGCCGAGAACTGGTAAAGGTTTCTCTCAGTTTGAATGAATCGTCTCCACTGTGAAAAAGACACATCAACTGCGAAACGTCAGCGTTGAAATTAATGCTGTATTAATGTGAGTGTTGTGGATAACCAGAGAAGTTTAAGTTCATGTAAACCACAGTTACCTCTCAGTCTGTATCTTCAATTATCTTAAACCACACTTCGTTCCTTACAAGACATTTTTTGCCTATAAGTACATGTAGTTGCCTTTGTAATTTCCCCTCACGCTTTGAATTACATACATCACATTCTTGTACTGAAATAGAGCCAATTTTTACAAGTTTTCTGTTATATCTATATATTTTGATGTATATTGCTTTGTTAAACTACGATTTTATACTCGTATACATCACTTCTTGTGAAACAGAAAGTGAAAAGGTTGGAAATTCGGTACAAGTTGCACTACAAACGAACTGAAATTAAACATGATGTTTTGTATATTAGCCTTTGTAATCTTAGACTAATTGAAATACAGGTGTGGGGAGATGATGTAGTCCGTTGTAAAATGAAACCCTCGTGGTTCAACTTTCATTAAGTGTGGTCAAAAGATGCCATAATCATCAAGGACAGTATTCCTTGCTAATTTATGTTGTTTGTAATAAAGAAGCAGTAATCACATCACCAGCAGTTGATTATTTTTTTTATCGATGTATTTTTGGTACCTATTTGTGCTATAAAGATCTAATCAATTCCCTTGTTCTACTTTCTGTGCTTTATATGGTCTAAAGTTTGCACTGGACGTTATTAACCCTAACACTCCTCAGTCCTCCAACAGGTGAAGGATTGAGGAGGGTTAGGGTTAACGGTCAAATTCAGTTGGAAGCCTGCAACCCATTGATAAAGATGAGAAGTGACTGTCTACGACGCGTATTATTTTTTATATACAATGCCGAGCGTTAAGTTTTTGTGTCCATTATTAGAAACACTTTAGAAGATTTCAGAAGAAACAGTGACTGCAGGAAAAGATTCTAAAGATCACCTGTTTCATTTTTAACTGCTTCCAGCGCCTGCGCATTGCACTTCTATCCATTGATCATGCCAGTAAGCTACCCACAATACCACGCGCAACGCTAAATTAGTTTCCGTCACACAATTTTGTGGAAAGAGATCGATTTGTTGTCGCAACCACCATTGCGTAGGCTACTTGGTACGAGCTAAAACATCGCTGTCCCTGGTAGTACCGTGAACCCGCAAAATGTTTACTGAACCTCACATATTGATCCCAGCCTGCAGTGCATCCAGATTATCAGATTGATTGTTAACCATTAACCAAAAACATCGCTTTGTACCAGCTCGCGAACTGAAGTCCAAAGTCTACAAAATGGCCGCTGGTGCTGTCCTAATGCAGTGTCGCATTTGAATGTAAAATCCAGCGCGCCGACACGACTGATGTGTTGTAATTTTAGTGTATTTTTTAAGAAACGCCAATGCTTTGATTGATGTCTTCAAAAACGAAGGTTTGTTTCGTTTGTATCTTTTTGGCAGTTTGTTGTATGTCAGGAGAATATTACGCAATAAGTACAGGAGCTCACTTTGAAAATAGTGATATTTTCAAAATACTACTTTGAATAATACAAAGTGCATGGCCAAGTTTAATCTATCCATATTTCATAGCGTGTCAAACTTGACGAAATAAGGGACTTATCTCGAACGCCTCTGCGAGGGCCAAGGTTTTAGTCTGTATAGCGGAGATGATGACGCGATAGCATCAATGAAGCCGATAATCGAGATTTGGGAATTCATAACCTTAAATTAAAAAATCATAACTGTGTAATTTTATCTTAATTTTCTAATATCTTCCATGATCATGGTGTTTGACACGATCGGCGTAAACGTCGATCTGCACTGCCCTGAAAAGTCAGCTATCCCTACTTGATAGGGTCGTTTAATGTCGCTTACCCTGATTAGATTGCTGGCTTATGTTGATGTGGACGAAATGTATTAACCCACAAAAAGTCCACAGAAAACTATTGATCATGTTGATCTACAGTTCTCACTCAGTGGAGGAATCCGTCAAAAACCATGAATGCTGCATTGACGTTGGTTGCCTTTGCCTCAGCTCTCAGTAAGTCAAGTATAGGCCTACATTAGTAAGTCTGATTTAGTGAAGATGTGTGTAATCATATTCTGGTTTTCGTTTTTGTCCCCAACAAATTTCAATTTGCCCTAAAAGTCCCAATTTCAATATGATTTACATACACCTTGGGGGTTAGGGTTAAATACTGGCGTTTCACAATAGTGTGCCTCCAAGAGTTTGCAAGGCGTTGGCCAATCACAATGCACGAAATCTGTCGGCTCAACGCGCGTTTAGAAATGGCCGATTTCGCACGTAATAATTGGCAAATGCGTTGCAAGTAGGCTAGTGATCAAGTAGTCAGGGTTACAATTCCCCGTCATGGGATAAGGGGGTTTCTATCCATTCACAGGCACAGTTTGTGTCCTTGGGCAAGTCACTTTACCCCAGCTGAGTAGCTTTATGTATGATCCTCTCTGAAAGTCTGACCTTTAGCACTCAAGCACCAGTGGAAATGAACCTTTCTATTTTTCTTACATTTAACAGTACTTATTCTTCCACATTTTGTTCGTCGTATCAGTTGATAGAACTACAATTCGCTTCAGAAGAGAAGTTTTGTTGACCATACCGTCGAAAAATATGGTTGATGTTAGCTATGTATTTGAATGTCTGTAGCGTGCTGTGCTGCTATCCGATGTTACGAGTGCACGGTGACTTCCGTCGGGGCAGGTGATTCAAAGTGCGCTGACCCCTTCTACAAGCCTGAACCTCCTTATCTGAGAGATTGCGATTCTGAGATTTATAAGAAATGTTCGGTAAGCTATCTTTCTTCCTACGTTCATACGTCAGAAAGTTTATTTCTTTTCTATGCCTCCCTCGTAATATGAAATGAAATGAAACAAAGCAGGCAACAGACGTGTGTCGGCTGAACAATTTGGGGCTTGTCTGAGCAAGAAGACTCGCCCAAAAGAGAAAAAAACGCCATAGAAATTAGTGCGGATAAAGAGTGACGCCCATGACACCAAATGGTCAGAGTTCGCAAATTGGATGCCAGGCACGCAAGTTGGCCATGGAAAGCGTAAAGTAAAATAAACAATACCACTCAAATCCCCTGTCTCATCAACAAATAGACGAGTAGCCGCAAAGGGAGAGAAATGGTTTGAAAACTATCAGTGCAGAGTAATCAAGATGAACAATCTGGACAATAAAAACTGCGATCAGTCGTTCTGGGCGGTTTGGTATAGCAATGCAATGCCAGATTGAGGACATTTGGATTTGGAACAAAGGGAGAACCGACCCCTAAGCAACGGGGAGTAAAAGATGCTTTATCAGCCTCCAAGCGTGTACGTGTTTAGAAAGATGCAAACCGTCGTGGCAAATCAAGGGCCAAAATGTGAGGAAGGCCATTTCGCGACAACCTAAGTACTGAGGGTCTGAGAAGCTTGAATGCGCCGAATCACGGAGTTAACGAGTGTTATCGAAAGTCCAGTCTGAACGAAGCGTCTACTGCACCTGGACCGGGTATTAAACCTGTGAAGCTTTCTATTTCGAGGCGAGGCGAAACGAGCGATTGTGTGCGGTCCCCATCGTGAATCTATTAAGGTAAAAGATGAGTTCGAGTCTATAATGAAACCCAAATATTGAATGGACAAAGTAGGATTCCAGACATTTTTCTACTGAAAAACCCGCTACGAACTAAGGAATCCCTCAAGATCTCGATACTCTGAAGAGTGGAATGTCGAACCGAGGATGAGTCTATCATCAATGTACATATACCCAAAAGACAGAATACCTTTGGCGCGCGCGTCAATGATAAACGAGGGGGCGAACGACATTTGTAAACGCGTAACTAGCGGAGCTCAAGCCAAACGTACGTACGGTAAAAACGTAATATTTCGTAATCTGTTTATGACACCATGAAAAACCAAGGTACATGTGGTGAGGAAATTATTTCTACGTGATGATACCCGGATTCGAAATAAGAAAACTGTGCGAAGTGATATGAATGATCATAATTATTTGAAAGGCGCAAAGGAAATTAATTTGTTGGGGTGCCGAAGGTCTAAAACCAGGTGCAAGTTTTTCCCTTCCGCTACGTAAAAGGATTTTAATAGTGAGGAATGCGATCAAGTTCGGTTATGCAGCGTTTACACCCAAGTTCTGAAATGGCAGTTTGCACAAAATTAATTTGGGATGATCCAGACTGGATTTATTATTTTTTAGCCAAACTAAATGGAGTCAGCGGTTCCAAAAATGGGATAAGATCACCATGACGCAAAGTGCTTTCCAGTTTCGGGGCAAAAAGGAAAGGAAAACAAAGCTTCAATCTACCTTTAAGACCTGTCTTGGGGCGTCGCCATGGGCAATGAAACTTCCCAGTCTCTAAGGGGAGGCAACTCCGGATGATCCGACTGCGGTACAGTAGCTAGAAAAGGGCTCGGAACCAGGTGGTTGGGACGCAAGATCAGGCGCGGGTGAAATCCCGCTCGGTCCGTGTCCCGTGATTGATGGCGTGGGCTAGGCGTTGACTGGCGATGCTGCTGAAAATGGCAGGGTCAAGAAAACAGGTTCAGAGTGTGGGATTTGCTGGGTGTTATGCGAAGGAAACTCTGGCCACTGTGGCTGTTGAATCGTTCGGTGATCTAGTAGGCTGGGGTAATTGGCTCGAACGTGACCGCTAATGCCACACTGGAAACACACTCTGCGGTCGATTCCGAAAGAGTCAGGGAGCCGGGTCCTCTTGTAGGCTTGCTTCCACGCCGTTGAAATCGCCCCGGTCCAAGGAATTCAATGCTGATTCCACTAGTAACAGTTATGATGGATTCGGTTTGAATGCACTGCTGACGGTTGCCCTCGCTCTTGAAAGGGACAGCAGTCTCGGAAATCTTCTGCTTCTTAGACGTCGATTCAATTTTCTTCTGGAGAAGTTGAATTGCGTTGAAGATTTCTTGATTGGAAATATGCACCTGGTGATGCGGCGTTAACCAGACAGCGAGGTGTGTGCGTGCTCAACCAAGAGTGAAGCGATGCGCAAGCAACAAATCTTACATACAGAAGCAATGAATAGCCTAAAGAACGTTATTACGTAAGCGCTCAAAGAGCGCATCTGTCGTGTGATACCGAAAAGAAATCACACTTCTTCCAGTATTCCCCGTTGGTTCATTTGCAGCTTAATTTGATTAACTTGATTACATGTAATTTTTGTCTGTCTTGAATGGCCGATTTATTTTAACGAATGTTACCTTCTTAAATATTTTTCTAACATTTAGAAAACCAAGACTTACTTGGCCAATGACAAGATCAGCATCGTTCGCTCATGCGCAGAACAGGACTGCGTTGACAAGGGATGCAAGACGTATGACGGCCAAACAGTGTGCCACCACTGCTGCTATGGAGATATGTGCAACGGCGCAGGTGTATTGACCTTTGACTTCATTGTGGCAGTAATAACTGTCGGACTAACCTTTCTATTGCACTGAATGGAAAGTTTCTACACTTTTGTAAATATGCTTTGGTGTCGCATAATTGATAGTTATTAAGCATAATATGAAATGTCAAGGAAGGTTAAGGTTGGTCATAAATGTCTATTGTGCCAATCTTGTTAATAACTATTCACTTGATGGATAAATAGCAGCTGAGTTTACAAATGAATCCCATTGAGCATACATGCCTCGATGGTTATGAGTTGTTGCTACTTGATGCCATAAATTGATAGACGATAAAGGGCTTGCTCGATGTTTGCTTGAGCGAGCTTGTCAGATAAATTGCATTAAGAATGGTACTTACTGGCTTAGCTCAACTTCAGAAAGTTTGATCAAACATTCTTTGTAGTTGGATTGAAAAGTAAACTTGGTTAATGTAAAATCAATGAAGATAAGAAAATATATTTAATATCTGTTAGACACCGTTATGGCATCTCAAGAAAGTCTCCAATTCGGAAACACACTCAAAGATTTGTACTTGGAGTAAACTTCTTGAGTTTTAAAGGCCACAGGAATTCCCTAGAGTGAAGAGTCCCTTTTTGTGTGTTTAGCTTTAGTCACTTTTACAGCAAAGAAATCGGTACTATCTTTGACGTTTTCCTTCAACTTTTTAGATATTTTTATAGTACAGTGGCCCCTAGTAAAGGTGGTAATTTGTTACCAGATGTTTGCAAAATTTAAAGTGATACTTGTGTATAATATACTGATATTTGTGATAGATGATTCACGAAATAAGACAATGGATCGATCAACATAAAATGTATATATACTGTACATGTATTCAATGGATATCGAGTGTTTGTGGCGTGACCCTGATCTCTTATTGATTGGTTTTTCCTTTGAAAATTTTCAATAATCTTTATTGCCATTCGGGATCAGGTTTTTGATTGCTCGCCGTAAATCAAAATTAGGAGACTCTTTAGAAGATAGATCAAGGAAAAACTGCTGCTTTTATCCTTTCACATCATTCTACCAAGGTTAACCAGCGATTTATGCTATCCTTTTTATTTTGAATAGTTTCGTCACAAACGAGAATTCTAAGGATGGTAAATTTCGCTGTTTATTTTTAGTTTACTGTGAGAACTCCATTGCAGTAATGCCTTCAAAATCGTAAATTAATATTGGCCGCGATCTGAAAGACGTCATAAGACTTGATCAAACGCTAATCGTCAACCGTGTATGTTTTCCCTTCTCTAGTAGAATTCAAATCTCAAGGTCGTAATTATATCGAGCAAAAGCTGAAAATGACAACATTCAAAACCAAAATACAAATCACTACAGATTCTCAAAGAAAACAGACAGATATTTTGTTGCCACTATTGTTTGCAAAATGCAAATTTAAAGACACACATCATGTAGGTTAGTCTTGTTCCGCTTCCATTTTCTGGGTGTTTCGGTGAAAAATATGAATTGGACGGAACCAGCGGCTTCCCCACATGTCAATTATCATCTGTTGTAGCCTACGGAACCAATGTTGTAGGTGACCACAATCTAGCCTCGAACACTGCATTAAATTTAAAAGTCCCCTCAGAATTAAACTCGTTTGGCCCAAAGTACGAACCTGCAGTCACATCGTCTACAGTTTTGCTTATAAACCCAATCATGTGTGAGAATTCATGGGTCGTGCTAAATCTGCTCAATTGTCGCATGTGTTTGTTGCAAACAACCATTCGAAACAAAAGATGTTTCAAAGTGACGTACGTTACGTAATAAGATTCTAAAAAAAACACTAGTCAGTGGATCCAAAAGTCCCCCTTCTGGAGTTTATCTCAAAACAACACACTAAGCATCATTGTCCATCACCATGTTTTCTAGAGATTCTACTTGAATCCTAGCAGTCTACAACCTCCAATTTCAGTATGACTTCGGGTATACCGTCGGAAAGTAGGATTAATAAGATATTCAATAAACTAGCCTTTGTGGATCCCCTCCTTCGGTCCTACATTGAATATCTAAATCTGAGTATTTTATTTTGAACTTATTCAAACAACATTTAACACAGATCAATCTACGGTTGCTGATGACGTTTAGAACGCAGCTTTGAGGAAAAGTAACATGGCGAATGTCAGTGCGTAATTGCCGTGCCGAGTGGTGGCGCTGTTGCAAAACTCCTTGGTGCAGCAGCAGGTAGTCGAGTCTCCTAATACGGGTACGGAAATAGTCTTGCAGCTGTCTTTACCGCCGGTCTGGGAGTCTGTGCAATAGGTTGAAACGCCACAATCTCGAACAAAGACTACGCCACCGTTTTTTTGTTTCTGCGGAATAGAATGTCAAAGTGAAACTTGGGTCAAGTATGCCTAGGTTACAAATGTTCAAGCTTGCTTTTCAGCAAACTCTGCATTTTACTCTAGACAAAAGTGAAAATGCAAATCCATATAATAGTCACGGGCAATTTTCATAGTTTTTTGCATCATTGCAGATGTGATTGTAATGCTGACCAATAGGAAGCTAAATACCATTCTAAAACATTCATTCCATGAAATTAGTCCCCTCAGGGCTGTAGAACACTGTACTTACCACGCATACATCGGACACAGGACCACAGTCTGTTTCGTTGGCATTAGCTTTGTTGAATGGGTCATTGCATGTTCTGGGGTTACAGGTGTAGCATTTTATCGCTTGAGCAGCAACTGGAAAGACAGAGAGAACATTGCACATCAACAGAGTGGGGGACCTTGAGACGCACGGTGGCGGCAGATACAACGGTCCCTTTTTTTGTGATGTCTGCATGAGCTTCGCTCGTCACCCAGCACCCAGGGGTGCTGGGACGGACCGATGGCTTTGCACTGTGATTGGCTACATTAAATGCGCACGACATGTGACTGCAAGATTATCGCTTCCTGTTAGCGAAGCGTTATTTGCTTTTTTGGCTAGCCAATCGTCGTGCGCCGTCCGTCGTGCGTTGTCCGTCGTGCGTCGCCCGTCGTCCATCAAATGGGTTGCATAGGACCTGCAAAAGCCGGAGTTTAACAAATGACAATGTGATGATTCCATTCACTTCTAAAGATCTTTTCCGAATAAGGCAAGTACAAATCCCACCTGCAAAGTATATACTAGTCACATAATTATTTCCAATAATGCTGCCCATTGACAAGAAAATATCGCCTCTCTGAGAATTCAACCAAGTGTTTTGGGGGGAAAAACATTTTCAGCAAAAATGTGCCGGCCAACTTATCCACAGTGTTATTCTAATTTGCCTACTATAAAAATGTGCCGACCTGTTTTCATCAAATTCCAGGAAGAAATCTGCCAACCGATACAGATATTCCATCTTGTCCTCTCAATTTCACCTTGAAATCCGGGAATACTAGACGTGCTGTGGATAACAAACTGTTTATTAAATGTATTGTTAGGGGGCAATTACCACGTGGTTTAAGTTTCAGAAAATATGACATGTTGGTTTTCTTGGGTGTGTATGCCATGGTGGATAGACCAATGAGAACAGGTGGTCCAGCACATCAGCATTATTTATGGGGCTAACAAGTAAAATTACTGTTTAACCTGACTTCTGTGAGCCAACCTGCAACTTAAGTCATGTCTAATTTGGAGTATACAGCAGATTTCATCATAGGTATACCCGCCCTCAAAATAATGTTGAATCAGATCGTCTCTTATGAAAACTATTAAGGAATCAAACATTGTAAATAATCTATTATTTACATTCCGTTCTTTGAGATATCGTGCAGGGACAGACAGAAATATTGCATAGGCTATTGACCTAAGGTCAGGCTGCTAACGAGTAAAGTTACGTCTAGAGTAACTAATATCGAGAAAAACAATCTATCCTAACAAAAGTCTATTTTGTTAATTTATTTATGTAACCGAAATGGTATTATTTCATATACACGTTACTTAGCCGATGTCAGGATATTATTTCTTCTTTCAATTGGAGTTTGGCGCAACTGCAAAAACAAATACATGTACATCTTCTAGTTCTATTGCTAAAATGAGAGTCGGGCATGATGGATGGATCGAACAAAGACATGTACATGTGAAACGATCAAGGGTCAAAGTTAAAAATACCACTGCGCAATCGTGAAAAAAAACCACGGGCAACGCACGACGGGCGACGCACGACGGGTGACGCGCGACGGGCGACGGGTGACGCGCGACGGCCGACGGAAGACGGGCGACGGACGACGCACGACGGCAGATATGGAATTCCATAAAAACTGGACCTTCTTCCAAACTCCGTAATGTGATTCTGAATAATTAAGGTTATGAATACACTTATATTGTCACCGTAACTTCAGCGATTGTCCAATGGGAGCCTGCAAATCGTGGCGCGTCCACCTTTGCGACGAAGTCACTTACGAACCGGATATGGATCAAGTACATGTACAGGTAGTCGATATTATCTAACAGTGCTACGTATGTGCACATTGAGCATACCAATAATCCATGAAGTATAATCATACCCCAAATTAAAACAAAACTAAACAATAGTTTACTTACTTAGACAAACCAGAAGGGACGCAAGCATCAAAATACACTTCATGGCTGACACAGCAAAAATGACTCACATGCGGATAACTCTATGACAGTGGCAAAACAAAAAGTAGGCAGTCATTTAACAAAGGATTGTCTGTCTTTACACAACACAAGTATAGGCCCTAAATGGAAAACAAAGGGGAAGAACACACACACACACACACAAGACGACACAACAGAACTCATGAGAGGAAAAAGCGAGACCAACAGGAGAAGATAAAACAAGACTAATTTAGTAACATTAATTTATAAGGTTTGAACAAATGTAATCCAAACTTATTGTAGACATCTTGTTTTTCACATGTTGTATAATTGTTTATTTACACTGGGTTACCGATTCGGTACAAAATGATCTGCCATGGGTCTCAGCAAAAAATAGATTGTGATTCGCGACGAAAAATCCTGGAGCCCTAATAGTGTACATTTCATAAAATTTCAAACCCGTTTCCCGAATACTGATGTGTGAATACTTTTTACCAAAGATCGTAAAGCGCCGAGTAGCGGCGCAAGATGGAGAACTTCACCGTAAATACGCGTTAAACGTCGTACGTGCATACACTCAAATGGCGCCCGTGGTGATAACATCTTCTTGGCCAAGTTCTCCATCTTGCCTTTTATAGTCGAAACAATTTAGATGACATCGGTTTGACTGTATAGTTGTACATTGTTAATCACTAACACGATAAACCCAATGGACTTTGCACAAGATTTGCATTCGAGTCATGAGGTATATGAAGTTGAGCAGTATCGTGTGTAGCATGAGATCTACAAACAAGCCCCCCCCCGTCATTGAAAGTGTGTGCTTTGTCAAGCTAGACGGTGGGTACGATACGGGTCACCTCGTAGACGCTAATGGAACGCACACACTGCTGCTGTGGATTGAGTGACGTTACGCCGCCCTCGAGAACAGAACGCTCCATTGGTGTGTTCTAAATCGTGTGTCTTAAACTAAAGTTGTGGTCTTTTATCATTACAAATGCTAGGCTCCATGCCGAACCTGAAGACGGGCGAAGCCATGGCTGCTGAACCCATTATAAACAGGGCTTTGGCTGAGGCAGAATCATGGTGGACGTATACGTAATATTGTCTGATTGACCGGCATTTGAGACAGACTTACAGACCAGGGAAGACTGAATCCACATCTATGAACTTAACCATCAACGAGCCGGGTTACTTCAGCCAATCTCACCGCCAGGAAGGGCAGATTCAACCCTCAAGAACTCGGCTGTGCCAAGGTCGTTTTTTTAGGCTTCGCATGCATGCATGTGTACAGTCACATGTAGAGAATCTAAGGATTGCGCGCGCACCAGTCAGCGTGCAGTGAGGCACCGCAGGCACGGTGAAAAAAGTGTACATTTTCGGCTGATCCGTCTCGGCAAAATGGGCACTGCGCAAGAACGCTGTATTCAATTTTTACAAAATTGGTGTCAAAAGGATCGCAAGGAGCAACTCTAAACACTCCTTTAAGTTGAGTTACTGAAAAATGTACTACAGGGATATCAGAAAAAAAATCAAATGGGGGGGGGGTGGACTCCGCCCCAGTTCTTTTAGGATTAACCCTGAAAGGTAAGCCCTAAAACGCCTCAAAGCCAAGTTGGAAAAATAATTATGTTCAGCCGACTAGTTTGGGGATTCAGCATTTGCTTACACTACTGATCATTTTTTCATACGTTTGGTGTCAAAATGACTGAAAGAAGTCCTACAAAAAGACCCAAAGGCGAAGCGCAATAACAAAGATTGGGCTTTGACGGTATCGGAGGAAATGTGTATGGGGGACACCTCCACTCTTGGATTCCGAGGATGAGAGTGATCCAGGTTGCTCTATGTTATATCACATCTTTATATCTCTCAGAGAAAGGAAACGGTTGGTTACCAACATGTTTATTAAATAATAATCAGCATTTCTAACACTAAAATAGACGGATTGGACATACCGCATTCAAAACAAAGCAAAAAGCCCACTTCAGTTAGCTGAATGATGTAAGAGTTTCCAGCACAAAAATTGATTCACAATAATTGTCGGAAATTCTTACCTCAAAACTGCGCCCTGCGAACTCAGGGAAGACACGGCTGGAAATGTGGCTTTGTTTTACATAGAAACACCTAACCAGTGCCCATGCGCAGCGTAAGGACGGGGTTCAAGGGCAAGCAGCAATGATTGGACTAACGCTGTCACGTGGTGAAATTTCCACGCTTCAATTATAAATAGGGATGAGGTGAAACTTGCAGTCCATGTCATTCACTCATCATCCTGTTATTGACTCAACGCAAACAGATTTAGATGCGTCATGTTGACTTCAGTACAAACCACATAAATTAATTGTCCTCTGTTGTTCGTGGATAGAACAATAATTGGTAATCAGATAGCCACATAATTAAGATACTGTGAGAGAGTGCCCGAATTATGAACTTCACAGAAGTGTAAACCATGCCATAGGCGTCCCATGCTTTCAAACTGTTCATAGCTACGTAGTTTGTAACATCGGAGACAGCCAGGGCATGATCACTTCATCACTATGCCAACACGGTAGAACGTCGCTGTAACACGATGGGGTTGACACAAAAAGTTCGGTGTGGCGTTCGTTCAGGATGGCGATTTTCAGTCAAGGATGCACGCACTCATTCAGAGCTCTAGCCGACATTCAGACGTATGGTGACCAACCGCACAGAATGGTTCGGTATTGCGGGCCAAAACTTATAGGCCTACGCAGAAAAGGTAATAATAAAAAAAAATCAAAGAAACAAACATAAAAATTCCAGCATTTTCTTATTCTCCTTTCACGTTTCACCTTTCGGAAGTCCTCACTGCATTGCGAAATGATGTCAACTTTTCCTTGAATCTCCGATGGTTCCTGTTTGATTGATTAAATCAGGATGACTAATTTTCAGTCAACAGTGACTGACCTTGGTCTAATTTGACTAGTATTTGACGGATAAAATGTTAGTCATTGGCCTGTCTGAATAATTGTAGTCATTAGCCTGTCTTATTCACATTGGTCATTTTAGACACAGAGCCGTACTAACATTTATAAGTCCACATGACTATTTTTTTTTATAGTGAAATGTAATTACAGACTACTGATGCACATTTACACGTGTGGCCATTCATATTGCAGGAAAATGGGCTTTGTAACAACAGACAGGTCTTTCATGTGAGTATCGCTCATTTCCATGAGCAGCAGCGAGTGTGTCTGTCTTGTTTGCTGCAGCAAACTCTGGACTTGGGGGTCGGTTATTTATTTCAACTTATTAATTACTTCTTTCCATTTCAAAGGTGAACGAACCCCGATCGCTTAATCTCCGAGTCATAGTTTCCTGGGGAAAATGTTTCATCCGTGAAGGTGTTACACTTTGGACTTAGAGGTGTGGCGAGGCAAATAAATGTACCTGCAAATTTACAACCTACACCTTCGTTAATTTGTAACCAAGCTGTTGGCGCGTTTTACTCTAATCATGACCCTTGATGACATTGCGTTGGTTTCAAAGTAAGTCCAGAGGCGTAACTGGGGCTAGTGTGTGTGGGGGGGGGCACCCGGGGATGCACATATTTTTTTTTCAAGGGGGTACCAAAAGACAATGAGCAGCAGCAGTGGTTGTTCATGAATTTTTAAGGGGGCACGGGGGGCATGGGCACTTGCTGCGGGGCACGTTCCCCCCCGGTTACGCCACTGAGTAGGTCTCGTTAAAATTCTATTCCATTAAAAGCTGTAATGTCGGACTGAACACAAACATTTATGTAAAGCTTGTTTGATCACTGCATGCAAAACTCTCTCCAATAGGCCTTCAGCTGAGACTAAGGAACAGGCTGTAAAAATGAATTCCGTTCCAGCAACGCAGGGACTACTTTTTGAATGCATAAATGTGAGGTTCTGAACGACCCAAACGTTATGTCAAAAAGGTCATCAAAAAATCCTGCAGTTTTTTTGTAATTCCATCTCAAAGTTTGTCATAGTCTTGTATGCTACAATGCAAAATACACATATATGTATGCATTTCTAAAGCTTTTTTTGGGCACTTCCAAAAAATTAGAGAACTGCGATTATGTCAAACCTTCGATATTGTAAATTTTAATTTGTATTATGAATATATGTGACAAATTAAGAACCACATTAAGAAAGCACATGATTTTTGTCAGTTCACACCACAGAAAGGCTTTACTATGTTTTTCTTGAACCATTTTTGATCTGGTAGACACCACCATTGTTATTCTTTAACAATCTGGCTTATTAGAATAAAAAAATAAAATGCAAAAGGAGAGATAATTGGTTTTGTTCTGTACAGATACCAGGAGGCTGTGATGTCCAAAATGGAGATGAAAATGTAATAACTTGCTGACAGCAGGGGAAATATAATGTACATGTAGGGAACTTCACTCAATGTACTCCTAATGTAATTTTGTTTCCGACAGACGCCCCCCTTGTTACAGCCAATCATTAGGTGCTAAAAATGGCCCCCAATTCCAAATCAAATGACTTATTCATACTTTGGTGTTACTATCTGGAACGGGCCATACGATTATGACACAAGGCATTAAGAAAAATGTCCCCAAAAGGTTAATTTCACCGGTTACGTTGATTATCAAAAGAGCACATTTAATTCAGATGTAATGCTATTTTTATAAATCAAATTCATAATGCAAAGGTAAAGGAAGCAACTCTAATGAACAGGACAGCTATGAAATCAAGATGCTTCGTGCTTCCTTCAAAAGACAACGCTGAAGAGGGCTACAAATTGGAACCCCGGAGCATTTTTTCATTATTATCAATCAAAAATTATTAACTACAGAGTGTCATCCTGTCATGTAACAACGTATGAAGACGTGGGAGCATCTGTACCAGTTTCCAAGTCAGACATGTCGGTTAATGAACCATGCTCTGAAATGTCCAAAGATTCGGCCAAAGTTCTTGATGACGATGTGGAGGAGTTGACAATCTTACACTTGTTTCTCCAGAAAGGCGTGTGGGAGCAGAGCTGAGGATAATCTCTTTTGAGCCAGCACTTCAACCTAGCCATCAATCACTATCTCTGTTGAACATCTCGTAGGCCTCTTGGTGCTCCATCTGAAGTTCACTCCTTTAATACAATCTGACAGTAAGCAACGCTCTTTATACTGGACACTTCATCTAAACAGATCTTCCCATCACAACCCTTTGAATCCATTTTGAGAAAAATGGAAGAGAAAAATGGGAAGGAATGATTTGGACTTACTGTGGAATTATGCTTGTTCAATTCAATGAGTCAGCATGGTGATATGCGGGCACTTGCTTGCAACTCTGCAGAAAGCCCTGCACGAAAGATAACTACGAGTACAAGAAGTTTTGCATGTATGTACTTCAACTTGCCAATATTAAAAGTGTCTGACATGCAAATGAGGACACTACAGCACAGTGGGAGCTGGAACAAGTGCTGGTTTCCAATCATCACAAATTGTGGTTTTAATCAGAGTTTTGAATGAAATATAAAAATGATTTCCTTCACCGTTGTCAGCATTATTCACCAGGATTATGAACACCACCCTAATTTTGAAAGGAGCCTCAAATAATGTTAAGGGCACTGAAAGGCCACAATTGTTTCATTCTCCCCCAAATAAAGAAGATATTTTTAACCTGAGTCAAACTAGGAAAACACATCAATCAATTATTGTCTACAGCGTACCCTTCAGGATCCTTGCTTCTCCTTGTCAGGAACTGACTGTATGATTTGTAACCAGAGGTGCGATATCAAACCTCCAGAATAACACAGTCTTTATCCCAAATGCGTACCAAGACATTCTCGTCTCTTTTGCTCTCTGCTGCTTGACAAAGAATTCCTGAAAAAGAAATTTAAAAGAAAAAACAATTTAAACCATCTTGCTTGTGCTCTTAATCTTCTAACCCTTTTTAAATGCAATTTGTTGCTAGACATTTTTGGAATGATAGTTTGTGCTGTCTGTGTTATTAGTCCAAATAAAGGCTGCTACTTAATGTGGAACCTTAATCAGGGCTCTTCGTGTACTCTGTCAATGCTTAGGCCCAGGATGAATGTATAAAAACAGCTTTCAAATATTCAAAAGTTTCACCCGCTGACATCCGCTAAATTTTATGAGCTGAAATTCCACCAGCACGTTCATTACTAGTGCGATCAGCTATTCGCAGGTTGTCATTTCAAGGGAATATGCAGGTGTCGGTGGGTGAAACTTTAAAAAGTGTACATGTACATGTATCCGTATCAAGGACCCAAGAGAAGGGTCTTGTTTATAGGTCTACTGCTTAATGCTGCCAGCTCTGGTCAGATTGAACCACACTGTAGCATGAGGATTTTTATTATTACATCTGTAGATTTATAGCAACTTTGCAAACCTGTGGTAGTAATGTGCATGCTCCTGCCTCATTTGTATATTTCATGGGAAAGGGCCACTCGTTGACTCCATGTTACTAGAAATAGCTTCAGTGGTGGGCATGATGGGCTAAAATTAAAATAACAACATAGACCTTACCTACATTGTAAATTATTATTCATTTAATTTTGAAAGCTACTTAGTACTTGAACTTCAACCAACATGCCCTTGCCTGATCATTGTAATGTAATAGTTAGGCAGCTTACCTCCATTAGAAATTTCTGCGCTGCAACAACGCGCGTAGGCTAGGACTAGTCGTCCTGATCAAGGGCTGATCCTGAGGTAAGGGTCGAGAATCCTGTGCAAGGGTAAAGTCACCTAGCCTAGTGTGACTGTGCCTAAGTCCGAACGGTGCATGTGCTGTTGAGGGGCTCGGTAGGTTGAGGGGCTGATTGGTGGTGCGGTATAGTTCCTGATAGGAGCTTGCGTTCGATGCAAGGGCGCATTGCTGTCTCGTGACGTGAGTTGCGTGTAGCGCAGCCCTGACAATAAGCCCGTAAACTTGCTAAAGTCCCTGATTCGGCACTGGATGCCCGCACTTAATTGTGGCGTTCACTGCTCTGGGCGAAGTCCAGTCACGTATAATCGCGCAGTTTCCCCGTCAATAGCGCCCTCTACTGGTGTATTGGTTGAGTGTGTTGATGAATAAACCAGCCGCTTCGGCCCGCTTGTTAATTGTTGTATATAAGTCAGGAGTCCAAGCGAAGTTTGTTTCAAGTCAGGTCTGTCCAGGTTTCGTCATTAAGTTTCGACCAATCAGATTAGCCATCATCTCGACGAAGACTAACTTTCTTCGGGGACGGTATACTTCGGTCCCAACGGACACGTCTCTAGTCGCTCAGGGACTCTCCGGCGTGCCGTCCGACGCACCGCGCCTCAAGGAGGAGGGCGCCCTCGCCTTCGTCGTGGGGGCATAGCGTCACAATACATGTACACGTACATGTATGTACATGTACGTGCTTCGCCACAGCTGGCATAGTCTGTGCAGCGTGCAAGTAATCCCTCGCACTTGGTTTGTTTGGTGATTTCGCGATCACATGAAGTGACCTTTCTCCACCAGGCATTCATAAGGGCTTTTACTTTTTCAAACTTGTCTGATTTTACACGCACTGAACTCTTGAAATTCGTCGATGTCGACGTTGAGGCTCATGCCGTCCGCATCGTCGGATGTCGGCATGTTTACTGCTTCGTGTCATTACCATATACCAACCCACGACCTTCGTTCTGGGCTCAGATTGGACAATTTACATCACGTGGTAACATTACATCGTTCGCGAACGATTTTTAAACGTGGCGAATTTCGCACTTATGGGTACAGTCCACTAATTCAATCCCCTTTGAAAACAGTGTAAAATCAGCACTGTTCAAGGCCTAATCACATGCACACCAACATCCCTGAGATTTCTGAAACACAGATGAAATTCTTGTCTGGTCACTTATCTTTCAATTTCTTTTCATTTTTTTTGTGGGTTAAACAATTATATTTTTAATTATTCTAACAAAACAAAATCACCTCCCGAAAAGTGATTTTTCTGAAGTCTGATTGCAGCCGTTTTTCAAGTGGCAACCCTCAACTTTCTCTTGTACCGAGTACCATTTTTCAACCGTAGTTTTTAGCCATTCTGCTCTCATATGAAAGCTCAAAGACCCAGGGAGTTGATCCTGGCAAGGATTTACACAATCTCACCATTTTTGGGGCCAAACAATCTCCTTTTTCAAAAGATACTGTGGGGGGCACTTTTAATGCTAATGAGCTGGCCAGAAATTCTCACTTGAATTAGTGGTCTACACCCATCCCCAACGGCAAAATGTTCGCTCTTTCCACCCAAATTATTAAAACAAAACAACTGCAGGACAACTTGTGGAGAGCGTTTGCGTTTGTCATCTCTGGTAATTTATGTACTCGATTCTGTTCAGTAAATCTATTCACGCAGTTGTTGGAACGAAACGAAAGAATGCAGGGGTTCAGCTGAAGGCTTAGTATGCCCCCAGCGTCTCAAAGTCTCTCATTCCTATGAGTTGAGATGCTACATCCACTTTCAAATTTTAATCGGTGGCTGTTCAAAAACAAAAGTGGAATTAAAACGTGGGCCCAAATTTAAGTACCGTTCCTAGGATCCCTGTGTGAAATAGGAGTTAAAATAAACAAACAAAAAAGGTGCTTTGAAAACATAAATTTGAGTGAATTAAAAGTAAGGTCAAAACAGACTTTGGACCAAAAACGCAAATTTGAAAGGGGGAGGGAACCTGAAACCCATATGATACCAAGGGGCTATGTTCATGAAACAGCCGTAAAACTGTTATTATAAGTATTACATTCCTGCTAAATCTTACATCAATACGGCGTATTTATTGCTTTAAAAACATTCTTGTAACAAAATGGATTGAAGTGTTTATTTAAGTGCGTTTTAACATTCAACTAAATGTTCCAGCAATCACAGTAAAATCGGGCTTGAACAGAAGCAAAGATATTAATTACAAGAACTTTTGATTGTCTGCATAAGGAACTGAGTGTGGCACGTGACCACAATCCAGCCTCGAACTCGGCATTATTATTCCAGATTTCAAATATTTTGACTCGAAAGGGTTAGTTGATTTGGTCACCCTCGATTAGTGTAGATAGCAAGGGTTGTGAGAGTCCATACTTTTCTTTGTACATAATCGTTTACTTTGGTTAGCAGTAACCCTTTGAAAAAACTGAAGTGTTCAAATCCCTTTCGACATACAATCTTTCAGCAAAATGGTCGATCAAATGGGTTGGTATAAATCACTTTATTGCAGCTAAATTTACTATCTGAGGGGCACTTCGACATGGTAGTTAAGCCATTGAAGTTACTCGATTTCGAAAAGGTAATGCTAGTTTGTCATAAGCTTTCATTCATCAGTTCTTCATGCGTATTATGAAAGAAATCGAACCTAAATTCTTTTTGGATTATTAATCTACAAATTAAATTTTCAATCTATCTTAGAGCATAACAAAGGAGTGTACTTTTGCTAGGAAAAGGTGAACTTTCGGAGTTTCTATTTTGTAATCTATTTTCATTGACCGTAAGGTTTAAACTACAGCGGCATACGTTCCTTAAAAAGCAGCTTTGATCACAAGCAACATGGCGGACAACAGTACGTAGCTGACTTGTCGAGTGGTGGCGCTGTTGCAGAGGTCCGTGTTGCAGCAGCAAGTTGTCGTGTCCCCAACTAACGGCACAGAAATAGTCCGGCAGCTGTTTGGACCCCCGCTCACCAAGTCAGTGCAGGTGTCTGAAGCACCACATGTTCGCCCAGTAACGATGTCACCGACTTTTTGTTTCTGCGGAGAGAAGATGAAATCAAAACTCGAGTCAAATTCGTCAAATTCCAAGGAGATTGATATATTCACACTTGCCTCAATGGTGCTGAGCACTGCACTCCAAACAAAAAGTGAATTTTTGAATCCATCTGACTCATGGGCAGTTTTATCTACATATTTTCCGCCCAACACTGTAGATGAGCTTACGAAGGAAGCAAAACAAGGAGAGCTGAGCGATCTACAATGCCATTTAACACCATGCCAACGATTGTTATTGTTGCGGTTCTTTGCTTTGAATTTCCTTGTGACAAACAAAAGGGATATTACTCCAACTAATTGTTGAAAATAATGCAATTCGGGCGATTCACAATAGTGCGCCTCCAAGAGTCTGAAACGCGTTGGCCAATTACAACGCGCAAAATTTGTCAACCCTTTTCAAACGTGCATTGGGTCAACAGATTTTGCGCACTGTGATTGGCCCACGAGTTGCCAACTCTTGGAGGCGCACTATTGTGAAACGCTCGTATTCATTTATACACAGCAAAATTGCAGTACTTAATCATTATTGTTCAGCTCCGCAGATTTGGGACACATTGTTCTGCGGTAGGGTGACATCAATATGACGGATTTTGACGTCATCATTGTGTCTACTCCTGAATGGATATCATTTCTTTAGGAAAAAAAGGAACAGATGACGCTCCGCTGGCAATCCTAAAACGCGGGATAAAACCTGACTGGACAACGCACCATAGGAAGCAAAATTTGAGACCGAGAGAACACCAATTCTTTGTGTTGGTCATTGTTTCACTGGAATCTGAGGAATTCTTTTAAGACATGGGGGGGGGTGTTCAACAATAGTCTAGATTGTGTGTCTTTTTTGTGTTGATGGAATCTTTGGAATTCCTTTCAGATTTCTGGGGGGGGGGTGCAGTAAGCACAATGGCCTTAGGGTATACAGCTTGCGCATCACACTGGTCCCACTTTCCGACATATTGTGCCGGGTATTGTGTATCGTATAGCGATCGGACAAGTTGGGAGTACCCCTCGGTATCATTTCTTGCTGGGTATAGACAACACTGTACTCACCACGCATGTATCGAACTGAGACCCACAGTCCGTTTCAGTGGCGTCAGCTTTGCTGAATGGGTCATTACACGTTCCGGTGGCGCAGACATAGCACTTCCTCGCTTGACTTGCGCCTGGTAAAAGAACATTGCACATGACAGGATTGTGGTTTTCATGGACTGATGGTGGCTTGTTTCGTTTTCTTATCACATTGCCCGGAGACATTATTGCCTCTTGCCTTCCGATTTCAGGTTTTAGTTGTTAAGCTTCTTAGGAAACCCATTGGAGTAAGTAGTGATGAACTTGATTCAGAACTTCCGACTGGATGGAAAACGTGCAGGCCAAACATTTTACACGAACAAATGAAACCACTACGGAAATTTTTTTTTTTAAATCTCTGTACTTCCTTTAATGGCTATTGTAATACTGCATTCTGTATAGTATGTAGTCTTGCCCCAAGACTCGTTTTTACTGTTTTGGCCGGTGCACCCTACCTGCAGGCGCTGGCGCTGGCGAGCACAGCCAAATAGTAGGACATGTACCGGTAGAGGGCGCTTTACTCACAAGAGACGAACTGCCAGAAACCAGTCTTGTAAAATCTGGCAGGCCTGAAGCCACCTTTCCATACGTGCGTCAACACTGGCGTCAAGCGTTGGGTATCCGTCAGAATCGCTCTTGGGGCGATTTTGACCGCCAAAAGCAACACACATCTGTGTTATGTTAAGTTAATGGTGTTGATTTTTGTGTTTTGTGTCCGCAAAGGTGAAATGGATAAACGCATCGTGTACGCAACGCACCCCTAAAAAGTACTTGCGGAAAGTCGCCTTTACCAAAAAGTCTGAGCATACCTCACGTGCACAAGTTACCAAGGCTTATTGCGAGTACGCGCTACCAAAAACCGCACGCCATGCACACTGTGGTTTTCGGCAATGCGCCATGAGATAAATATTTGAAAGGGTTTTTTTAGTACCGGTGTCAGCTAATCAAGGGATGTTTTCAGAGGTGAAGAATGCCATGATCAATTAAAAATGTCCTCAAGTTGTGAAACTACGCCTATTTTAATAATACAGCGGTGGGGAGGGGCCTACCAAGCTGGCGGGGGGGGGGGAATTGCTCCCTGGAGATTTTCGCAGAACTGATAGCAGTAATGCTTTTAATTTAAAATAGTGTTATCGTCTTCAAGGAAGAGGGGGCAGTAAGAAATTTGTAGAGATTAAAAACAAAAAAGAACCGTGATTTTTAGAATCCTGGATGTGGCACTATAATTTTGGAATGTACTGTCTGCGTAACCGCCAGTTGCGTGCACAAACTCAGTTGAAAACCCTCCCACCAGCCCGTATCTTCATAGCCGGTGAGGGCGCACTTCGACCAGGTGTGGATTCGAAGATACGTATACAGGCCTTGGTACTGTTGGGGTACGATACCCGCAAACACGCACGTTAACCCGCAAACAAGACAGATATCATGCATCATTGTAACGGCTTTTTATCCCTTTGCCGGAGCACACGTATGTTTATGCCCCTCACTTTGTTGGTACACATGCGCACTGAATCCCACTACAGCGCCAGAAGCCATAAAATGGCTCTTGACTAGGGCAGGTGGACCCTAAAAGTAATCGTTCAACATCATCACGCTCCGATAAAATTGTTTACCCCTTATATACATACCGATTAGAATTTAAACACTCAAAGTACCTTTTGCTAACTTGCACACTATAAAAATCCAAATTCTGCCAAATTTCAAATTTCTGCTCGTCTTTGTCACGTACCTCCAAAGTATGAGAGTCAGAGGTTGGAAGTGAAGCCAACATTTTAGAGGGGATTTTTTTCAGTTTTGCCGGATTTTCCCTGACATTCTCTACTTGTGAATGGTTAACAATATCATGAAGCTCTAATGAGAAAGTATCATACAAGAAGGAAAACGTATGGATGAAAACAGAAAGTTTTGTTTGTGCCTGATAGTCAAGCAATTTGACGTGATTGTACGAATTCGTGCAGTGCAGTAGGTAACTCGTACCCAAACGCACTCTTATCCATGTCTGTGTACGTACATGTACGTGCATGCACCATACCCAAAATCCGGACATCTCATTTTTGACCGCTGCCAAACTCAGTGCAGAAATTTGAATCCGCATGAAAAACGAACAGCATTTCAGACAAATGGCTCTAATCTTGAAAAAATGAGCTGATAGATACAAAACATGTATCAGTCTTCCAGACAGTATCACTGATGATCTGCGGGAAATTCAACAAAAGTGTGAAAATTAGGCACTAGTAGTAAAATGAAAAACACGGAATAATGATGAAAATGGGTCCCAATGAAAAAGGAAATGAATTTCAAAAAACGGTTTTCTTCCTAGACGTAAAATTTTTTTTTGTATATAAGAGTTACTAGCATTTCATGTGGCATCAAAGTTATATGAAGGTTAACTCAGCAAAATTGTGAAAATTAGACACAAAGCTATGTAAAAAGCGATAATCCTTTATAATTACACTTTGTCGTTAAATTGACATTTTTCACTTTCTTTGGTTATTTCCCGGCGATCTTTCTTACCAGAAGCTATTGAATATAAGTTTGATAGACTCTTGGCAATTTCTTTACACACGAGATCTGCAAGGTAAATGGCAGTACAAACCCCTCACATTGGTCACCACCGATATGTGTCGACGCTAGAATAATTTTTCAGGCCGATGACCATTATGCCACTATTGTGCATGCGCGGATACACAAGTTAAATGCATGCGCAATTTATGGGCACCGAACATACGTGAGAAGTTACGGTGGAACTGCTTAGTGAAAAGCCGAAGGGCATATTGACACAGACGACTGATAACAGGAAGCAGTTTTGGCGATGTCTCACGTCTATACACGTCAGGTGTGATCTGCTTACAACAGCCACTCACTAAAACAAATTATTATGGCGACAAATCTTTTTCAGTGCATGCCCCTCGTGTATGGAATGCGCTTCCAAAGGCAGTTCGATCCGCTGGAAGTTTAAATCATTTTAAAACCAGCTTCAAAACTCACCTCTTCCAGAATTACTTTTCAGCAATATAGTCTGATTTTGCTAACTAGGAAGCCTTTTATTTGATTTGATTGTACATCTAATTGTATAATTTGAAAGTTTTGTATTTCTTACGTATCTGCTTTTAGCTTATGATATTGTAAGTAATTGTCTTTCTTTTCAATTTTTAAAAATGGTATTTAGTGTACAGTGCTTTGTGATGTCGTTGACATGGAAAGCGTTTTTAAATAATTCATATTATTATTATAAACAAGCAAAGTTCTGATTCTTCGACGGAACCAACGCAAGGACGATGGGGTAACTTGCATCTATGCCTGTTAATCCAATAAGTCATACCCTGTGAGGCCACCATATGGCAAGAACGCTCTAGCGATTCGTCGCTCAACTGCGCAGTTCGTAATCTCTCAGTATAAAATGGTACAAAAGTAAACCAATATTTTATCTCGCGGAAATGTCAATTTATCACTCGCTTCCTAAAGTGGAATTTTAATATCAATAAACAGGCAGTGTTGACTTTTCAATAAAACACTTGTATTTCTAGAAAACAAGTGTGACCGTGGCCCTAAACGGCATCAGAGGTAAGGCAAAGTTGTTTTGGGTCAGGGCCGTTCCAAAACTAGAATACACTAGTCAAACAAAACTAGAATAGAAATCTTTAAACACATGTCCTTACTCCCCTACCGTATATGTACCCTGTTAGCAAAGACTAGTTGTATGGATTTCCAAAGAAGTCTCCTTTCTCAAGAATGGCAAGATAAAATACAAAATCTGTCCCTCTAAGATTGTGCAAGGAAATAACTTTCACGTGTCACATTAAATGTAAACTGAGAGTATTTTTAAGTTAGTGGTTTTAAAGAGAACAATGTAACTGTCCATTTCATTTCATTTGAGATCCAGATATATGGTCCAGTCAACAGGCATTCAAACTGAGTTAATAAGATATGAATGTGGACACATTTCCTAGTTTTAGGGCTTGCAAAGATGGAGTCAAATCGTACATATGTCTCATAATCAATCCTTATCCACAACCCTGATTTTTCATAGGAAAATGTCGATATCATTCGTCTATACATATGTCTATATATATCATCCTATTTTGGATCAAGTTTGTCCGAGAAATTTGTAAAATGGGACCATTTTACACCCCTATAATCTGAAGATTGAGAAATAAGTAAGACTGCGACAGAGAACACGAAGCAGGAATTACCCTGGTTTTCTTCCCTGATTTAGTGGTATGCAGCGATGTAATCAAGGATATCTAACAATGATGTTACGTTGACAACAGTTATAAGAATGTTCTATGACATTAAATCGTGCTTCAAATTGAAACAAAAATAAATGTACTTTTACTTACCCAGGCAAACTAGAAAGGAGACGAACAGCAAAGTCCACTTCATGGCTGGCGAAGCAAAAGTTTCCTCACACTTTGAGAACTCTGTGGCAGTCGTAAAAGATAGTGGGTCTCTTTGTTAAAAAGGATTGCCTAATTATTTAACGCAATAAAAGGTGAAAAACAAAAGAAAAGCAGACTGAAGCAAAAAAACAAAAAAACAACAGAAATCAAGACAAGAATAAACTAGACAAGACAGCAAACACCGATACAAGACTGTACTAAGCACGAACACATTTCATATGGTATAAATTCAAACTGCAGGATGAATCTTGGCCCTCAATATACTTTTTGACCCTTTCACCAAGAAGTTTGTTTTTAGTTTAACATCTTGCTCATTCGGCATTTAGTATTTAGTCATAAAAAATCGGGGTGTTTTTTCGTGGTTTTTCCTAAGACCACCCTACAGGCAAAACTATTTTGAAAAAAATGTCAAAATTGACCAATTCTTGCCACTTAGACTTGAAAGGATGCTCAAAAGTAACGACTGGATCAGTTATCCAAGATATGGTACTTTGCCAGTATTTACACGTACATTTGTGAACGTATGTGAAATACCTAAATTTTCAATTCATTAGAAAATTCATAATGGTACCCAAGAAGTAAACTCAAATATTTTTCAAACAACAACCAATTTTGTCATATTATTTGAATTCGTCTCATCAAAATTCATCTTAATTAAGCAGCAAACTTTTGAAAATTGTTGACCGGTGTAATACATAAATTCAGATGATATTTTGTTAAAGACCTAGGAAGAATTCGGTTAAGAATTCAATGTGACCAATAAATGACAAAAGATTTTGCCTCATTGCATTCAAAGTTCTTTGGTACGATTCGTGTTTACATATATATGTAAAAGTGGATTTTGTAAGCAGAATGTGAGACAGTGCAACTGACCAACAACTGACATGTTCAAGAAATGACCCCCCCCCCGAAAAGAGTTTTTATAGTACATTTTGTAGCACATTTTCCCGTAGATTTTCCCGGGTAATTGAAGATTCATGTTGACATGAATGAACTTTTCCATAGAAACTGCCTTCAGTTTCCTCTGAAAGAGCAATTCGATAGTCAAATTTTCATCACTGTAGTTACAAATAACTAATAACAGATAATAATCAGTTCTTATTCGTTTTAACGTTTTCAACATAACGCCGGTCTCAAAGTAAGACGAATTTGAACACTGCAGTTATGACGAATCAAATTGCAACAGATTTTAATCATTACGTACCTTCAAATGAAATCTAATGGTAACTGTCTGAAATCGACATTGGAATTACAGTTCAACGATACTTGAGGACGAAATGGAAAGATCATTATAAGGAATTCCGTGTGGCATAGGTTTTGAAAATCCTGATATGAATAAAATGAAAATGCAGTCTAGTTGACAATTTTCCATCAACTATTTTGTCATGCAAAGGATAAATGAACCGGGAAATGCAAGTGTCGCAGTGGCAAAGTGTGGAGGGGGTATATAGGAACGCCAAAGTGAAGTTCCGCAACCGGTTTAAGAATCTTGGACACTATGATTCTTACCTCAAAAGTTGGGATTTAGGCACCAACTGAAAAGCAACAGAGCGACAGCGTCCGGATTACCTGAAGACTCGACTGGAACTGTGAGAAACGCCCATTCAGACCCAATGCTAAAAGGCCTGGATCCGAGTTCAATCCTTCGTGATTGGACCAAAGTGATCACGTGATGTTTGTTCCGAATAAGGACCGGATATCAGATAAGGGAATGGGTAAATAACGAATAATAAAAACATAAAAAGAAAACTACTCGGTCAAGATCAGCATTATGTGAATAGCTGACGTCATTCCTCTGCTATTGGCTGACGCTGCTTATTCAAGATTTATTTTGGCGATAGTGTTTGGGGCTATCCGAAGTGAAGGACGGTTTTAGGATAGGTTGTACCTTCAACACAGACGAGGTAAATGGGCCAGATTTTTATCAAGCCATGTAGTTTCCAATACATTGCCAAAAACAAAACGAAATTTGCTTCAGGTGGATAAATGGCGTTAAAGCCATTTTGACTGGGGGGGGACCCCACATTGACAACTGTTTGAAATTCTTACCCCTAAAGCACCTCGTGCTCTGACGAATGACCGGAATTGTGCAATTGCTCTCTGGAAACACCCCCAGCTTAAAGGTCAAGTGTGCGCACCTATCACGAGACGTGAATTCTCTAAGCGACGACAGAAATAAGGATGAAAAGAAACAATGACCCTACGTCATCTACGCGTTTTCACATGATTGGTTCACGCTGTTCGAGATAACCGTTCCCTAAATAGATTTAGGTCCGTAGAATTGACGTTGGTGAGAACCTTTGAAATAATGAATAGCCATTTATCATACATTGGACAATCATGTATCAGAAAGTCACACGACCGGAAAGAAAGTTTGAGCGAACGCACGAATGAATGAAACTGAAACCGTAAGACGGTCTTGTGAAACCTTTAATTGGTACGCTGCATGGTTATACAGTTTATGATAACTTACAAAGCCAGCAACGAGGTCACTTACACACTCGTTGTGTACAGTTCAAAAGGGCATACACTGGAGGCTACGGACAGTCAGATCAAATCTTGTTTGCTTAGTTGTTTGTTTTTGGCCATCACATATATGTATGACTACAAGAAAGAAAACAATTTGGACAAGCTGGGCATGTAATTGCACAGGATTTAAAGATTTTGGTGTGAGATTAGAACGAAGTTACTATGAGAACTGTTATCCACAAGATGCAGCTGCACCGTTTGGATCTGCCCTTGACCGCTCTAAGATCTAGGCAATCCCACACTACAAGTGTTTGTTTTCAACGATGTAATCATCATTGTGATGGTGCTTGGGATTCGCTGGTTCGCCGATGGTGTCCTTGTGCAGCAAAAATATCACCTTTTGCAACCTGTGAAAATAAAGTCGCAGACGATTTGACCAGTACAGCGCCAATTTGAAAATAACAGCGTGTGGTTGACTGCCAAGTGGTGGCGTCCTATTGCCTCCACTCACTCTGAGTAGAGGAGCTGTGCATATGAAGCTCTGGACACAATACTGAGCTCGGGTGGCTTGTTCTCGTTTGTTATAAAGAGCTCGATTAGTTGTTCGTGGGTCGGCCGCTCGAACATTGGGAACGTACAGCCAGTTATCGCTGACAGTTAGTGGCAAGCAACATGCAACGCAGCGACGTCCATGTACGTCCTTTGAGGGTTAATGTTTGGATAATTGGGCTGAATTTCTTTTTATTTAATTAAATTTATTTCTGTGTTAGAAAAATTATTAATGTTAATTTGCTAAAGTTCGCATATTCTCCGACTTCGTGAGCATTCTCAGAAATCAAACTCTCAAGAGTTTTCCCGTGTGTTCCTTTAAAACCCTGATAAGGAAGCGGTGTGTGATCGTGATCCAAGAACGGTGTTCTTGGATCGATTTCCCGCTGCTCGATTAGAAAAAGAAGGCGCAGAGATGGATACAGAGAGAGAGAGAAAGAGAAAGTGGCGCAAGTGTAGATCTAAAATATCTGTACATCGTGTGTGCGGTACATCCTGCATCTACTGTGAGCTAAATCTGTGTTGGAAACGGGGGGTGGGGGTGGGGAAAGGTGTGAGTGAGTTTGTATATATATTCAAATCTGGACTTATAACAATAGGGGACAATAGGGTCCACGGTTGCCGAAGAGTCCACGGATGGAAAACGTGTACAAAACATATGGGAGGTCTGAACAAAAGAGGAACAATAGGGAGTCCACGAAATTAAAGGCGTTTACTCACTTGTAGGTGGCTGCGTGTGGGGGGGGGGTCACTTGGCCGGCCACAAAAAATTTTAAAAGCGGGGGGGACACCATATAGACTATATAGAGGGAGAGGTTCATGATAAAGATGTTCATCTGTAATGTATTTCAAATTCATCCAAAATCTTACATCAGAAGGTATATTTATGGATTTTTAATTAATATTAATATTGCTTTCCTTTTTTAGTGATATTGCAAACATGTTAATAGTTAGGAAATCCTCTAAATTCTTCACAATCCGCTTTGTTTTTGCTCATCACATGAAAAATGTGTGGGGCATATATACTTTCACCCCTGGGATAGACGCGAGCATGGTACTGACGCATAATCGACCAGTTTGGTTCCAACAACTGAGACATTCATATTGCAAATCTTTCTTCAAAGAGCTCTGGACACGTATAATAAACAGCGCCACCTTGTGTCCAAATCGATGAATTTTATTTGAGCCTAACCAGAAGGATTTATAAGGTATCTATAAGGATTCCTCTTTATTAGATAAATATAAAGCTCGCTAGGGGCTAGTTGCTGTCCCTCCCCCTAAATTCTTTAGAATTGATGACAGCAAACGTCATCAAAAGTACCATATTTTATCTCCAGGGCAGAAAACATTTGAAAATTGTTGACCGGTGTAATGCATTTATTCAAAATATGTTTCCAGTCGTCAAAGACCTAGGAAGAGTTTGATTAATAATTCAATGTGACCAATAACTGGCAAACAATCTTTGCCTGCATGCATTCCAAGTTCTGTGGCTTCATATTTGCTTACGTACAAGTGGATTTTCTAAGCATAAAGGGACTTGTGAAAAAATGCAACCGTAATACAACGAGCGACAACTAACGTTTTGATTTAAGGTTCGAGAAATGACCCCACGTAAAACAGTTTGTTAGTACATGTATCTGAAAATGTACTGAAAACCAATACTTATTCTGTAGATTTTCATATTCATAGGGTATTTCATATTAATATGCCCAAACTATTCGATAAAAATGTCTTGAGTTTATTCCCAGAATGTTATTGTTTCGAAAGAACGATTTGATAATCGAATTGGCATTACTTTAACTTTTAATATTCATGCTAACCTTTTCAATACAACGCCAAGCATCGAGCGAGAGGAATCTAACACCACGATCTCGGGACGATTGAAATTGCTACAAATCTTGATCATGCTACACCTAGTGGGTGTTTAACTTCAAAATTGGGCTTAACGTTCAAGGGAATTGTTCCAAAACATATCTTTTAGACATTTTCGGTTTAAAATAACTTAAATGAAATGAAAATGCACTCAAGAGGGCTAACTCTCAATTTGAATCCAACATTCATCGAGACACCTTTTTGGGTGGCGGACAAAACTTTAGTCTATAATTTTTCCATCTCATTTTTCAGGTTAAATTAAACAGGAAAACGTAAGTGTCCCAGTGGCGAAGGGAAAGGGACACCGAAAGTGTCTCGATATGTGATGCGACCTTTGAAAACTCAAGGCATGTCCCCAAACTCGTTTTGGAGATAATTGGCAAAATATTCTCCAACCTTTTTTTAAAGAACTTAATGCCATTGGCCGAATGATTCTTGTTTGATGCAATTAGAAGTTTAATTAGCATATTTTTAAGTCATTTTGTGTAATGTCATTGAAATGGTTACAAGGAACCTTAAAGTTTGATTTCTTAAAATAAGGCCAGCCGCTTTTAGTAGCTTCTTCAGAGTCTTTGCTCAAGCTACAGACATCATGAAATGATTAAACAGTTTTGAACGTAGCACAATATCTTGATGACGTTGATGCACGTAGCATAAAACGACAAATTTCACTATGTGAAGGGTTGTGTGCTGATTGCGGATGTGCACTGGCGCGTAATTCATCTTTTGGTTCCAGCAACTGAGACAACTCATGTTGCAACTCTCTCTGGGCGCTTGTAATGAACAGCGCCACCTTGTGTCCGAAACTATGGAGGACAGGACATTTTATAGGGATCTCTCTCTATCAGCTAAATAATAAGTTCTTAAGTTCTTATGTCAGGACCTGTTTCACTGGCTGGTACAGATCAGGGTTAAGACGCTCCGTTAGCCAATGACAGCTCTCACCTCAAGAGTGGCTCATTTATAAGGAGCCAGCTGGGTCTCGTTGCAATCTGCAATCTTGGCATTAATCTTTTTGTAAAGATATTTATATAAAAATTTAAAAAAAACCATGAAAACAACACTCAGCGATATTTGAGATGAGGACACAGAAAATAAAGCACTAATTTTTGATAAAATGTTGAAGTGTGTTTCTCGTTATATTTTATTAAAGATCACCTCAGAAAAATGTATTTCACCAGTTTTAGATACAAAGCAATTTGTGATGTTCACACCACGAATGGTTTCTTACAGTCACGGTATTATTGGTTAAAATAATGCAGTTTCAGGTTTTTTTTTGAATGCGCTCCAGACGCCCAGAAAAAAGACACGATGAATATACCAGCTGTGGATTGTCTGCACAAGGAACTGAGTGCGGCATATGACCACATTCAAGCCTCAAACTTGACATTATGATTTAAGGTTCTAAAGATCTGAATGCTCATCTGCCCTTATTAGCTTCAGTTGTGTAAATCGAGGCTTTGCATGGTAGCCATCTTGCTGGCCAGTTTTTATGTCCCACAGGAAGCCTCCCTGGTGCATATACCGTAAGAAACAAATGTACTGGTCTACAAGATGGTCAAAAATCACCCCCCCCCTTGTCGAGGTTACATGGGTCCCTAGGACTTTACATAATCGTTTGCAGAGTGGGTTCCAATTGGCCAAGGTCATCGGAGAACAAAGCACGCCCACAAGTCGGCGTATGGCCGGTCTGATTGTTCATACCTCGCAAATGTGTATTGTTCCCAAATGACCTTGTACGCGCCACAGTTAGGGCATGCGCTGTCCGAATGCCGAAACAAAGGCTTATTATTTAAACATACGCACATCTAGGATTATTGGAATAACTTGATTTCGGATTGATAATGCCAGTTTGTCATAGGCTTTCATTAATCAGTTCTTCACGCGTATATGAAGGAAATAACCCGCATTAAAGTTTTGGATGGGTTTTACACAGTGGATCTGCAACCTGTTACAAGCATGAAAGAGCGACGTTTCCATCACGACGAGGTGGATAAAGTAACCGTTGTTGTAAGACCGTGAGGAAGAAATTTAAAGATTAACCTGAACGTGTTTGGAGCACATTTGAATATCAATGAAGCTCCCAGGAAAACAAGGAATATTGTTTTAAAAGGAATGTCAGAAAAGGACATGCTTAGGGGCACTAGGGATTCCACAATTGCTAACTTTTTGGTACGCTGGGAAGCTTTTAATCAGTGGTTCGACGAAAAGGAGATGAAGCGTAGTGTTTATTTATCATCTTTCCCCTGTTGCACTGTCCTACACGCAGATTTCTTCATGATATTACACTTTTACAAAAGAGGCATGACCTTGGGAACACCAAGAAAAGCGTGGGTGCTGGTTGTTGACAAAATGACAAAAAGCACAAGCATGCAATGAACTGGTACACATGCGCAAATCATAAATTAATGAATTTCAAATGAGAATAATCAATGCATGCAAATCACACGGAACAGGAGCGGCGTTTGAGAATTTTTTTTTCTTTTTCCTGAAGTCAATAAAAATTCGACGAGTGTGTACCGAACCACTGATTTTTGGCAAGAAATCAGAAGGAAATTTGAGAGGAAAAGCTAATAATACAAGAGCAAAATTTGACTAATCTCTCCTGCAAATTATGAGCTGTTGAGACTCTGTTTCCGAAATCTGTGTACGCTTTGACTTTAATGTAGATGTCACAGCAAATACAGTTGCCTGTGACGTTTACAAAACAGCTTTGATCAAAAGCAACATGGCAGACATCACGGCGTAGCTGACCCGACGAATGGTGGCGCTGTTGCAAAGGGTAGAGGTGCAACAGCAAGTTGTTGTGTCGATTCCTAAAACAGAAATAGTCTTGCAGCTGTTCGTCCCACCGGTCAATGCGTCAAGGCAGCCAGCGGTAGCCCCACATTGGCGCTGAACTACGTCTTTGGCTTTGATTTTCTGTCAGGGTAAAAAATCATTGAACTAGCTTCTTGTTACTTGTGCTGAAATTAGCACACTTGTTGAATTGAGATGAAGGTTTTGGCCAAAACAGGTTAGAACTTAACTTTTTTCTCGATAATATTTTCCTCGGCCAGGTGTCCTTGGATTGATTTTTTTCATGAGTGCAACAGTAAATTTTTGGTAGCATGACAAATCGACGACTGCAATTATCACTTTAGTTAAGCATTGTACTCAGGATCAACCGTTCAAAGGCGTGAGCCGTGGAAGTCATTTTTCGATAGTATTCCCCAAATCTTTTGCAATCTGATAATGTGGATGGAAATAGACTGTGTTATTGATTGGGATTTTAATTAGTTTCATCTAAGAGTAGAATGTAAGCCTACTTACTAAGCATGCGTCGCCTGCAGACCCACAATCCCTTTCGGTGCCGTCGGCTCTGTTGAACGGGTCATTGCATGTTCCTGCAGCACACTCGTAGCAATTCAGAGCATGCACTGCACCTAATCAAAAGCAATTTGAAAAGGGTGTCCTGAAATTCAGGTATTAAGCTAAAAATTTGATTCACATCACAGTGTTGTTGCCCTTTTTATTCCCAAGTCAGTGTAGCATTATCAAAAAAAAAAAAAAAGAAAAGAAAAAAAAGCACCCTGCATAACCACGGTACAAGTATTAGCAGTCAGAGGCTCTTATCTCGTTGCACAGTGCACAGAGTTGATTACTAGTCTAATTTCTAGACCAACAGATTTCACCTGATAAATATTTGCGACGGATTTGCAATTCGTATCCACACTACATGTGCAAGAGTTTTTTTTGCTTGCTTTAAAATTAATATCTCTCCACATCGTTATTCATTTTTAATCTTGTGTCCTTGATATCCATGACTTAAGTTCAGATATCAACTTGCTTCTGTTTTGTTTGTAAATGCTTAAATAAAGACACGAATGACAAAGAATTTGTCGTCCTCGTCTTGCTCAACGATGGAAAGTAATATTCAGGATAACAATAGTCACGAATAATCGTCTGTCTTCAATCGTGTAATCTGTATATGCATCTGTGACGTGAACGAGATACTTAGGAGATTCTGGAGAAAGGCGTCGCTTTGTGTTGACTGGTTCACTTCCCCATTACTTTCTTGCACAAATTTCATGGCTTGTTCGTCGTCCAATCCCATATTGGAACGAATGCGTTGCAAATATTTATCAGTTGAAATCTGTCGGTCTAAGAAACAGACTACTTATCAACTCTGTGCACTGTGCAACGAGATGAGAGCCTCTCTGACGACCAATACTTGTACCGTAGTTATGCAGAGTTACTCTCGTCTTGGAACCTACTTTGTGATGACCCAAAACGTTTGGGGTACAATATTTGTCTTCAAAACGCGGTCCCAAATCTGCCAACCAAAAATCCATTCCTTAAGCCGCGTAAGCCGCGTAATTTTCTTTCCTACGAGGGTTAGGGGAAATTTTCAGGTATGGGCGTGGTTAACTGCAAGCTCGACCAATTTGGTGAACACTTAAAAACTTCAGTGCCAAGGTAAATGTCAGGCTTTACTTTCAAATAATACAAACATCTTCCAACCAACGAATTTCCCACCTAGAAAAAAGTACTACATAGAGACTTGACCGCTTGGCTCGTTGGTTCAAAGTACAATACTCTCCTAATAGAGCTACCGTGCACATCGACCAGAGGGCCAGTTTTGTTGTATACTTAAAAGTTTGTGTTTGTGTTACGTGTTTACAATAATTGCACCCCAACTTTCCCAGACGAAAAACACACGCGCAACGGTTAAGATACGCCAATTTTATATGTCAGCTTTTATTATAATTACCCCTAATCATCGTGGGAAAAAAATCAGGAAGGCCTAGCCAAACACACAAAGTTTACACAGGCCAATGTTTCCACTCAGCTTAACACTGACAAAACGCTTCGACTGAACAAAGTTTTCACTTTTTCTTTGCGCAGTGTGAAAAGTAGCAGCTTTCAATATGAGGAACTTTTTCAGTGTTCTTTGTAATACACACCAGCTCTTTAAGGAAGGAAATGGAACTTTAAATTTGCACGGAATTTTCGAAGCAAAGTGCACAACCGACTCAATGCAAAAGGCCTTGAAGTTTCAGTGGCACATGACGTGGGTCAGTTCATGAATGGGTAACTCCATTGTCAGTCTACTTTGCAAAAAAACACACCAAAAACCAATCTCCCAAAACAACCTTTTTGTACGTGACGTTGGTGCTATATTGTGTCTAGATCACAACCTAGGGCAAATGGAATTTTTCAGCCGTCATAGTAACTGTGGAACAATTGAATTCACAGCAGGAAAAAAAACCCAGCTAAATGTCAGAAACTAACGAATTGATCACAATTTAGGAAAAGTACTGGTCATGTGAGTCAACGTTTAATGAAATACCCATACAATGTCAAATGACAGAACCAATATCAAATTTGGAAAAAAGATCAAAGTAAACATCTCGGCTAGAAATATAAAAACTTCGGCCTCCAACATTCATCAAATATTCAGGTTTAATAGGAATAATGTACGTCAGTATCAAGAAAACATACTCAGAACAGTCTAGGAAATACAATATACCATTCATTTTAATAGTATTCATATGGATTTCACAAGAAAGGCCTTTTACTCTTTGGAGTATGTGTCTTTTTTATATTTTCAAGCAACTCCTCTTCGTCCAATTTGGGTGCATACATGAGGCAGTCCTATATGCATTTGTTTATTGGACAAAGTTTGTTCATGTTAGGAATAGTAAGAACCTTACTCGTGGTCATCCCCGACACTCACCCTTATACGCATGTGCAACTGAAAAGAAGTTCTAAATATACCACGAGAATGTTGGTGTCAGAAGCTAGATAATTGCCTCATCTGATTGGGGGCCTCATTCGAATCTTTGTTGAATGGCAAAAAGGGAGTTACCGGAAGGTCCCCACGCACACAACCGGTCTGGCAAGGTGTTGGCTGTTTTATTGCCAGTCTTTTGTGACTGAATCTTCTAGAAAAGGTCAAAGTTTAAATTTACGCCAACACGTACAGAGAGTGTTTAATGTTTGTAGTTTAGTTTTTGTACGAATGGCGACCGATGCATTGAGCATGTGCACTCAAAGACTGGCTACTGTCCTCTAATAACACCGAGGATGAAAACGTTAACAGCAACGACATAGCACAGGTTTGGGAGTGTATTGGTAGAAACGTGCAGTTTTTGGACAACATGTCTCTAGAAAAATGGCAAAGGCAGGGGCCTGACTTTCATGCATTTGACGTTGAAATTACCACAAGACACCATTTAAGAACTCATACAATGAAAGAAAACACATTCGGACAACACCAGAAGAAATGTGCAGAAGGTAGGACTCATCCCAGACCTTTTGATAAGTGTACATTGTGGCGTTCTGTCTCAAAGATAAAATCTACACTTCTTGGCAGTCTTCCATGTTTTTACCCAGCCCCTGCAGCCTCGGTTTGATTCCCAACCCGTTTCATATTTCAATGTGTCTTACCCAGACTTTTCTGGTTTATCCAAAATGTTTTCTCCCATTTCTAAAACCGAGACTGCTTGTTACTGTCTCCTCTCGGCATTTTTCTTCCGTTTTGGCAGAGGAAAGCGTTCACAACTTACCCAGGGAAACAAGAAGAGAGATGGCCGCCAAAGTCCACTTCATGACTGGAGGAGAATATTCGCAAAGGTACTATCTACAAATTCAAAACAGAGTGTGAAGTAAGACTAATGATCGACGTAGTTTTGATCACGGGAATCATGCAGAAAAAGGGCTATGTGCATGTATGGTCATGTAGACTCAGAATTCATTTCATTGTGTGGGCTTCATCGCTTATAAAAATCAAGACGGAATTTTCTTCATTCGTGTTTGTATTTCAGAGCGCAAAAGCTGATCGCCAACCATCGAAATCTTACCTGAAAGTTTCACTGTTTGCAGTGTCTGAAGACTCCACTGGAACTGCGCAATCGCTCTCGGGAAACGCCCTATCAGTACTAAGCATGAAGGTCTTCACAAGGTGCGTAAGCACCTGTGAGTGGACCGACTTTATCACGTGATGTGGTTTCGAGACGTCAATGTTGAATAAAGATGAGCCTAAATAATGGCTTTCTGATGTCACATACACCTTAAGTGTGGGCCCTGAAAGGAGAAATGTGAACGTGCCACAGTCGGTGTGCATGTTCCATTCTTTTTAAGAGGGGTGTATAAAGTTGTAACAAACAAAAGGTCCCCTATTGAAATAAACCTCTTGTTTGTTTTCGCAGGAAGGTCTGTTCTAACTCAAATATGTACACAAACCTGTTTTCTGTAGATGATTCTAGGCAGGGATGTAAACCCATGGGGCTGCCCCGGCTTAATCGGTAAAAATACAAAGTAATTTACAAACACACTGCGTGAATTTACAAAAGGATTATGTTATTTTGTAAGCGAACTGCGTTATTTTGCAATTTTTAATCTGAAATATTTCAGGCCTGGCACTAATGTGCTTCCGTACAAAAGGATAGACCCATTTATACATTTCGTGTGACCCAATGATGACTTTCATGTTCGCTGATAGGAGAATTGTGACATCGTGCGTTGCTTAAGTTTAAGTATTCAAGATGGATCTTTTCCTGACTAGGAAATATTACGGTTTGAGTTCATTAGCAGCAGGGTGACCATTAGCCTTGGTATGCACCAGACCGTATGAAAAGAAAGCAGACAGTTAACATCTGAAGCTAAAGAATTTCAAATAGCAGTAGAACGTGTACTAAGACTCATTTGCGGTAATGAGGAAAACGACAATAGCCTTCTCACTACCATTGTGGCAAATGTTCTCATCAATTCACAACGTACTTTTGCTACCGCTGTCCTGCTGTGGCTTACGTCCCTTAATGCGTTTCACTACAGGTTCAACAGCGCCCTCTCTTCTAGTGATGCCGTATGTAATTGGCTGTCAGTGGCACGGACGTGCATAATAAAATCTGGACTCGCAATGCCCTTAATCAGC